CTCAGTGTGAGCAACTGTGCAGAGACCTGTTGTTCTTCTTCCCACTTAAAGCGAAGCACCCCAGAGCCAATGAGAAGAGAGGTTCGGCCAAAGTCATCCAGCTTGCTGGTGGTGGAGCCCAGGGCTCCTGACTCCCAGAAAATGCTGTGGCAACTCAGAATACTGTGGGACGACCCAGGAGGACTTTCCAGAGGAAGGGGTTCTTTTGGGGCGGGCAGGGAAGGACAAGAAGAATTCCATCAATGGGGCTCCTGGCCGGCTCACTCAGTGAAGCACGCAACTTGATCTCAGGGTTGTGTGTTCAAGCCCCATGTTGGGTGTAGAGAGTAAAAAAAGGGGCGCCTGGGTGGCTCAGTTGGTTAAGCGACTGCCTTCGGCTCAGGTCATGATCTCAGGGTCCTGGGATCGAGCCCCACGTCGGACCCCTGGCTCAGCGGGGAGCCTCCTTCTCCCTCTCCCTCTGCCCCTCCACCCACTTGTGCTCTCTCGCTCTCAAATAAATAAATAAAATCTTTAAAAAGAGAGAGAGATTCTATCAGGTAGAAATGAGAGGAAGTCCAATTGCAGGTAGGAGGTTGAGTATATACTGAAACTCTAGGAAAGGCGGGGTGCAGGAGGACTGGGGTAGAGCCTTCTCACACCCACAGAACTCCAGTGGGGTGGCGGGGGGGGCTTCGCGCTGTGGGCACTGCGGAGCCAGGGGGTTTGAGCCCAAGAGATGAGAGCCCATGCTTCCTGCCGGCTCGCTGTCTGCTGTCTGAGTCTTCGTGCCTTTGTCCTCTCCTTACCCGCCTGTTCCCTTGGCTGCCCAGACCCCTCTGTGGCCACAGGCAACCGGCTCAGTCGTTCGCCTTTTCCGCGCCCCCGCCCTCACACGCTAGGCGGCTAGCACGGGGAGGGATGCGCCCGACCCTGCCTCCTTGCAGCCCTGGCCCCAGCACCACAGTGCCCTTACCCGAGGGCCAGAGGAGCACGGCTTGGAGAGGGATCTGGAGGGGAAGGGGCCTCCTGCCCCCAGCCCCCCGAGGGACCCGGAGGTGCTGGCCTCCCCGCCCCCTCTGGGGCCAGGCCGCAAGCCCTCACAATCCTTGGGCTGGTTCTCTGTGCTTAGTGCCAGTCAGTGCCAGCTGGCTGCTCTGGCTGGAGACTGGGGTGGCGCGAATGTGGGGGAGGGGGAGGAAGTGGGCAGGGGCCCAAGGGGGATGGGGGCCAGGATCGGAGGAGAGGGCAGTCAGAAGCCGGCTGGCCAACATGGGGGTCCCATGGGATGAGGGAAAGGCTAGACTGAGTCTGAGGGCTTCTGGAGCAGCAGAGGGGGTGTCAGGCCCCCAGTCTGGCCCTCCTGCCCCTGGCAAGTCTAATCCCCTCCCCATCACCCACTTTCCTCCACAGCCACCCTCTGAAGCCGGCCCTAGCTAATTCGTCTTGGTCCCTTTAAGAGCTGCCTGGGAACTGGGGCACCGGAGGGGGCAGGCAGGGCCCCCACCCACTCCCCCTGCCCTGCCCGCCCCTGCTCCGCCCCCTGCCCTGTACAGACTCTGCTGGAAGTCTTGGACGCCTGGGTTAGGGTCTCCACTGCTGGGCTGGGGGTAAGGCTGGAAAGTGGTGGGGAAGGGGGACTGTGGTCCCCGGGGGAGGGGATGGAAGGGTGGGATGCCAGTTTCCTAGCACTCTGGGCATAGAGTATCTGTGCCAACTTCAGTGGATAACATAGGGGGTCCTTCTGGGTGGTCCTCCGGCCTCAGACTGGGGGAAGGGCAGCTTCGGGGATCTTCAGGGGCAGAGCCCGGGGTCAGGAAGGCTGTGTCTCCTCACCCTCCACTCCCCCATCTCATTTTCCTGGGACCCTCCTGTGATAAACTCCATCAGTCACTTGCTGCCCCTCCTGCAATTAAAGACGTGGGGCCCTGGCACCCCATCTTCCCACAGGTGGGGAAACTGAGGCTAGGCAAGCCAGACGAAATGGAACTGTATGTGTGTTAGCAGGAGAGTTGGAGATGAGGCTGCAGGAATCTTCTCCCTCCTTCTCCACCCAGAAGAAGGGGACACAGGGCACTGGGTGTCCAGCTCACCCCAGCATAGTTCTGACCACAGCCACGGCCACTGCCCGAGACTAGGTCCCCACTGCCTCACCAGGACAGCCCAGCCCCTTCCTGGAATTCCGATTCCATAGGGCAGGACCAGGAGAGGCTCCCCGAAGCCCGCCTGCATAACCCGGGGTTAAGTAGAGGTGGGGGAGCCTGCAGGCTTCCTTAGAGTATTTCAGAAATGTGGCCCTTACAATTCTGCTCCAGAGATGGCACCCAGTTCCCCTAGAAGGGAAGGAGGCAGAGGAAAGACCCAGGGACACTCCCAGGTGGGAAGTCCTTCTATAGTCTGACCTCTTCCTTCCTCTTACACCACTAGCTCAGCCGCCTCTGGCCCTGCCACCGTGATTTCCAAACCCATCTTCCCCGCCACCATGTGCCCCATCCAGGGGGAGAAGAGCCTGAGCAAGTGGGCACTCTCTGAGGCCCCAAGGCCAGGGGCCGCCGGCAGCGAGGAAGGGTGGCCGTGGGGGCAGTGATAGAGCTCTGCTCAGAGTCCACTTCTGCTTTCAGCACAAGCCAAGTCCAACTGGCCCCGCCCCAGGCAGAAACGCTCAGCCACCCCCCCTCCCCCCCAACCCAGACCTGAACGGGAACCAGACTGGGCCTCTGAAAGCTCAGCCCGGAGCCAGCACCAGCATACTTACTTCCTTCTTCTTAGAAACACTATTTAGTCTAGAAATGAGCCCAACTGCTCCCAGGTAGGCTAGAAAGCTATGATTTTACCCATGTGAATCAGAGAGAACAAGCACGCTCTCTGGGGTCACACAGCAAGTTCGAGGCGGCCTGGCCTGGGACCCAGGGCTCCTGCTTCCCAGCCCCCCCTGGTGCCTCCTCCCCCAAGCCCAGAGAAGCCAGCCTGGAAGGGGCTTTGTCCACTGCTCATGTTACCAAGGAGGGAGCTGAGGTCCAGTGGGGACAGGAGAGCAGGGAGGGGTGCTCAGGTTCGGGGCTGGGAGAGGACACAGGCCCAGATTCAAAGCTTCCAGCCAGATCTCTGCTTGCCCTTCGAGAGGTGGGAAAGAATCCAGCTCAGGCTTGTCTCTGCTTTATCTGCATCTGGTCTAGACCTTTGGAAAGTCCCTTCTGTAGTCTGCCCTCATCCTTCCTCTTACAGCATAGCCCTTCTCCTCCTGACAGGTCTCAGGCGGCTAGGCAAAGAAGGCTCTGGTACAGTGGCTCGGGAAGAAATGGCAGAAGCTGAGCGTGGCAGTGGTCGCCTTTCCAGGGGAGTCAGGATACTAAGAACAGAAGAGAGGGCTTCTTTTTTTTTTTTTTTTAAAGATTTTATTTACTTATTTGACAGAGAGATACACAGTGAGAGAGGGAACACAAGCAGGAGGAGAGGGAGAGGGAGAAGCAGGCTTCCCGCCGAGCAGGGAGCCCGATGTGGGGCTCAATCCCAGGACCCTGGGATCATGACCTGAGCCGAAGGCAGACGCTTAACCATCTGAGCCACCCAGGTGCCCGAGAGGGCTTCTTGACAGAGACCCTGCCTCTCAGCTTATTTGCACAGATATTTGTATGTTCATTTGCCTCCTCCTTGGCAAACTTAGTTTGCATGGGGTCAGGCTGGCTGGCGGCCAGGAATGACCTCCTTCCCCCTTACATAGACACAGTTCCCAGGGAAGAGGGAAACCCAGAGAAACTGACCATAGAGAGAATTTGGCCCCACATGACCCCTGAACCCAGCTGGGGGACATCTGTGAGGTGATGCCTGCCTGACAGGGGAAGAGGGAACTGAGCAAGGACCCCCCAGGGGCTAGTGTTCCCCTCCTGCTTCCCCCCCACATCTGGAGCCCTGCCTCCCCCACACATGTGGATCCATGAGCCACAGAAGGTGGGGCGCAGGGGGACACGGGTAGGAGGAGGAAGAATATGGGGAGATTCTAGTCCCTCCCACTTAGAGATGCGGTCGCCATGGTGACTGAGGACCAGTGAGGCGGGATGGGGTTGAGGATGGGGGGCGGGGGTGTGGCAGGGACGGAGGCACTGGGAGACAGGAACTGCCTGGCATTCCAGGGGGAGGGAAGCACCGTGCATCCCCAAGCTCCAGGTAAGGGAGCCGGAAAGCTGAAGGGAGGGGGCGGGCCATTGTCTGGCGCGGGCTCTGCCCTGAGGAGGGGGCAGATCGAGGGGTCGGGCCATTGTGTGCGGTACTCAGCTCAGCCTTCCAGCACAGTCCGATTGGAGGAGGAAGCCTAGGAGGCCCTGGGTAAAGGGTTAGGGGGGATTGGGCTGGGCGGGTGGCAAGAAGGCTGAGAGACAGTGTGGGTGGGAAGAGGTGTGGGGTTGCTGGGGGGGTAGAAGCTAGGGACATCCCTGTGCCTTACACACAGTAGGCACCTAAATAGAAGTTGATATGACTTGCTTGTGATAATAAAAAGAGGGCAACCAGCGGCTGGGCAGGTGGGGCAGAGGAAGGGGAGCCAGGAAGCTGATGTTCCCCACAACTGTGCTCTTCTGGGGCTGCCCTTGAGGCTGGAAGGGAGAGGGGGTAGGGGGCGTTGGACCTGCTAGGTCATTGGCAAAGCCTTTCTCCCCACTCCTGGAGCCCCTCTCAGTGAGGTATCCATGTGCCCTGGGGCACCGAAGAGACAAAGTGCCCCAGAGTTCTCTGGGTGAGCACGGGGTGGGGAGGGAGAGGGGAGCATGGGGTGGGGGGGGGCGGTGAACATAGGGTAGGGATGCAGGGGCATGAGCACAAGGTAGGGGTGCAGGGGGATGAGTACAGGATGTGGTGCAGGGCAGTGAGCACGGGGTAGGGGTGCAGGGGGTGAGCAGGGGGTGGGAGTACAGGGGGTGAGCATGGGGTAGGAGTGCAGGGGTGAGCAGGGGGTAGGGGTGCAGGGGGTGAGCAGGGGTAGGGGCACAGGGGGGAGCACGGGGTAGGGTGGAGACCAACATCTCCGTCTGCCCTCCCACCTCTAACCCCCAGAGCTAGATCTCCACCCCGGACCAGAAAGCTTGGCAGGAAGAGGCTACTATTTGATGTGATCTAGGGGTCGTGGGGAAAGAGTCCCCAGAGGAGGTGGACCCTGGGGTGGGGGACAGGGTTGAACTCAGCACTGTTGCTATTAGGGGGTCCCCAGGCTGGGGAGAAAGGAGCTGAGGGACCCCCCCATTGGGGCTATGCAATGTCACGGCCCCTAAGGCCTTGTCCCTTCTTACCACCCCCCCAGCTGTACTTCCCCTGCGGGCCCTGGTTTCTTCACTGGGGCAGGGAAGAGGGAGGTGGGGCCCTGTCCGAGGGGAGCTTGCTACATCGTCTGCCGGCCTGGTGCAAAAGGAAGATGTGGGGCGGTCCTGTGTTCAGAAAGGGTCAGCCGCCTTCGGGACGGCAGCAGGAGAGCATCAGATCCTGCGTGGGCCCTTCCCTGTGGGGGCTCCTGTGACTGCCCAGGTCACGTGCCCCTGAAACCAGCCTGGCGGTGGGGCTCCCCAGCTGCAGCGGGGCCACGGCTTCGGGTCCCGGCGTCTGACTCCGGGGCCTCCCGTGCAGGAGGGGCAGTGGCGGGGCAGGGTGCCCTAGCTCCCCGTCAGGCTCTTCCAAAGACCTTGCCGGCCCTGCTGGATGTGGGGCTCGGGCCTTGACCCGACGGCCAGAGAGGTTTCTGTTCCCTCTTGAGTCGGGAGTCCCCTGAGATACATGCTCTCAGCCCAGAAGAGCTGAGCTTGCCGCCCCCCACCCCCACCCCCCGGGGAGCTGTCTGCCCCGTCCAAGTGGCCCAGAGCTAAGGGAGGACCGCAGGAGTCAGCCCTCCCCAGACACTGGGTGGCCAAGGGATTCGTTTTAGGCAGATCTGAGTCTAACTTGGCTTCTCCCTGTGTAGCCTCCCTGAGCTTCACTCTCCTCTCCTGTGAAATGGGACCACGGTGGTGACTAGCTGCTAAAATTCTTGGGTGGACCAAAGCTTAATAATGCAAACTATTCATGTTGGCTGGAGGGCCTGGGAAAGTTGACCCGGCCGGAAGGAAAATTCCTGGGTCTCTGGGGAAGGAGGACGTGGGACTGGCATGTTGAATAGAACACTTCCAGAGGCAGAAACGGGGCGTCGGGCTGAGAGCATGGGGCTGGAGCTGCCTCCCCCACGTGCCCCCCCCCCCCCCCCCGTCAGAACTCCTCCCTGTGACCCAGATAAGCTAATCTGTTCAAGCAGAGAGGCCCAGGGCCAGGGCAGGTCCCAGTCTGGGCTGGGAGGTGGGGAGGCGCAGAAGGTGGGGTCCAGGTGGGAGTTTCCCGGGACTCCGAGAGTCTTTGAAAGACTTTCCCTAGCGGCTTGGCCCCCGGCTTCTCCCAAGGACCTGGCCACCAGCCTCCGTGAAAGTCTGGGAGAGTCGACACAGTTGTCAGGAGGGGTCTGGCTGAGACCAACCCCCAGGCGAATGGAGGGGAAATGGGAGCAGAGGGGCAAGGAAAGAGGGCGAGGGGCCCTGACAGGGGAATCTAGGGAGCGACCTGGGCTACACGGTGACCAGTGGGATGGCAGGACGGGAAGGGCTCCCTGCCTGAGGAACGGGCATGAGAAGGACTTGGGCCGCCGGCTGGAGCAGGTCAGCCCTGCGATGGCTGGTGCTTTCAAACCAGCAGCCAGCCAGTTTCGGGCTGAGTGGGCCGGAAACTACCCACTTTATAGGTTGTGAGGCCTCGGTGCTAGACGCCTCATTAGCGCTGCGTTATGACGGGGCTCCCCCTGGGGCCTCCAGGGGCAGGTGAGCCACCACCACTGGGGGGTTGGGTGCCTCAGCAGCATGTCCCCGAGGGGTGAGCTCAGATGGGACACGTTCTGGGCCTCCGCCCGGCCTGCTGCTGGCCCGGGAGTGACGGGCACCAGGCTGCAGAGGGACGCGGTCAGCACGGCCGCGGGTGAGAGCCGAAGACAGCTGCTGCCGTCTCTCAGGACTGCGGCCCAGCTGGAAGTGGAAGTTTGAAGGTTAGACCACTGTAGGCACTTCCGAGTCCTGAGCAGTGAAGAGACCTCATCTTGTGGGTGAGCCAAAAGAGGAACAGAGATGGTGTCACGTCTCCTATCTGTGAGGGCTTGAGCAAGAGAAGTCACTCCTGGGCTGGTCAGACGGGATGTGGCATGACAGAGGGCAGAGGGGTAGCTGACATGACCTAGAAATGTTCTGGCCTTTTCAACTTTCTGGATGGATGGAGAGAGAGAGGAGGGAGGCCGAGGCGAGTCTCCTTTCATTGCCCGCCCAACCCCACCCCCAGTTCCGCCCAAGCCAGGGATCTGTCAGGACTCGAGAGGTGGAAATTCTGGTTTTCCAGAGCTCCCAGTGCTGGCTCTGGCACTATGGGTACCTGGAGGGCCGTGCTCCCGGCCCAGCCGGGCTGAGCCCTCCGTTACCCACCTCCGGGGCCTGGGGACCCCCTCCATCCCAGAGTCCGGACACCCGGGGTTCTGCTCTGTGGCTGGCTCAAGGGTATGTGGGATGAGGCGGGTGGCTGGAGGTTGACGGTCCTGGGGACACGGATGCAGCCACCCAGGGGGACAGAGCCCAGGGAGAGGGCCAACTGCAGGAGGTCCGGGCAGTGCTGGGAGCCTGCCTGGCCCCGCATCGCCTCCCTGCAAGGAGAGGGCCAGGTAGGCCTGGGCATCGAAGACCTGTGCCCGGCTGGGGCGAGGGGAGAGGTCAGAGCAAGCCGACTCAGGCCTGCCTAGGTCATCGGAGGGCAGGGGTGAGAGTGCGGCACCAGGGTGTCCACAGATCTGAAAGTGCCGGGAGACATGGGTCCGATTAACCTATATTTTAAGTGCAGGGATCTGCTCTTCCCGGGGCCAGGCAAGGGTTTAGGTTCTGGGCTACGGGGAAGGGAAGGAAAGGAGTAGACAGCAAGAAGGACTTCCTGAGAGTAAGGAGAGAAAAGGCAGAGCAGGGCCAGTGGTGGCCAGAGATCAGAAGGACAGGCCTGATGGCAGGACTCTGACCCCGAGGCGAGCGTGAGGCAGCCGGCTGGCGCCTGTGCATGATGGAAGCGAGACTCTGAGGGCACTCTGTAAAGGAAACTGTCCCCTCCCCGGCACCCCCACCCCCACCCCCACTTCTGCTGCCTGGGGCTCTCCCATTGGTCCCTGGGGGGGATGTGGTGAGGATGGCTCCCCCAGGGAGTGCCTGGGTGCCTGTTTCCTCAGAGCCATCTGGTGACAGCCTCCGGCTGAGCATGGCCCTCCTGGCCCTGGGCCGGGACCCTTGGAGTCTCCTGGGCCTTTTCCTCTCCCAGCTGTTTCTGCCGCTGCCGCCGACTGCAGGGGCCAGTGGGCAGGAGCCCCTGCCCAGGATCACGTACCGTGCAGGTAAGGGTCGCAGGGCCGCGTGCCTGCTGCCAGCCAAGCTGGAGGGGCGGAGGAAGAGAGAGCCCGAGGGACAGGGGGAGGAAAGGGACACGGGGAGCGCCAGAGACTGAGGAAGGAGTGAAGAAACTGTGTGGCCAAAGACTGAGTGAAGGGAGGGCCCAGGGTGCTTCTCGGAGATGGTGCTTTTTCTTTCCCTCACCCCCCGGCACTTCAGACCCCCAACTGCTTTCACGCCCCCACGCACCCCCAAAGCCAAGGTCATCCATGGACCTGGCAGCCCGGGACACGACAGGCTCATGGCAACCACACAGATGACACCGGACCACGCCGTGTCCAGTACCACGGACACCAGGAATAAGAGAGTCAGGGCAGCCCTTTGGGGTACGGGCACTGTCGGCTGGTTTCTTGCTGAGGCTGTGGGGGCCGCTGGCCCTCCCACCTCCAGGGAGAAGGCTCAGGGAAGGACTTGGGCCCTGCAGGAGGTGTGGGCGCAGGGTCTCCTGAGCATCTGTGTTGGGTGCTGGAATTACCAACAGAGACAAGACTCGGCCCTGCTCAGGGTGCTCGCAGGCCTGAGCGGGGAGGCAGGTGAGCAGCCAGCCGTGCTAAGGGTGGTCAGCTCAGTGAGCGAAGGACTTACACAGCTCTGAGGGAGGCCACCCCTTCCGGCACCTTGCCAACTTCTCCTTCTGGTCCTGAGATGGTCAGAGCTTCCAATGGTGATGCTTGGCTAGGCGGTCCTCTAACTAGGGCCAAGGTGCGCATGCGCCTGTGAGGGGACGGAGCAGCTTGTCCCTGTCGCTGGTGTGCCCCCTGGGAGCCAGCTCACCCCCATGCCCCCAGGTGACATCCAGGCAAGCCCACAGGGGCCTTTGAAGACATATGTGTCTGCTCTGCTCAGCCTGTGGCTGTGATTCTAGTGGTCGAATTTCCTGCTAGAGGAGGGGAAAGGGGGTTGGTGAGTGTGACCCTACAAGCCACACCGTCCTGTCTGTGGCTCCCAGGATCTTCCTGTCTGTCTGTCTGCCTTCTGCTCCCCTGCTCCTCCCTGGGGGAGGACCAGCGCCTCCTTCCCCTGCCCCCTTCGCCCCTCCGAGGCCTGGAAGAGTGTCCACGTGCCTCGCTCTATTTCCCGTCCCTTTGTCTGTCTCTTGGGTGCAGGCCACCTTTCCCAGCCCCAGGCTGTCATTAGCCTCTCTCTGGCTGCCTCTTCTCTCCCCTGTGGGCTCAACACAGAGCTCCTACACCACCAGCAGGCAGGGTGAGGGGAGGGGGAGGGGGAGCTGCCGATGGAGAGCGGGTCCAGCTGCCGAGGCCTGGGGAACACACTGCCAACCCTCCCCCCACACCTTGACCTCAGAAGTCAGTTGCCTGCCCACCCACTCCTCATCACTCACCCCTTCTCATCACTTCCCAACAGGGGAGGGACGCAGGGCTCTCAGCCTCTTCCACCAGAAGGGCCTCCAGGATTTCGACACTCTGCTCTTGAGTGGTGACGGAGGCACTCTCTATGTGGGGGCTCGAGAGGCCATTCTGGCCTTGGATATCCAGGACCTGGGGATGCCAAAGCTGAAGAGCATGGTGAGGAGGCTGGGGACAAAGGGTGTGGGCTGGGGGTGAGGGGGGCTGACAGCTGCCCCGTGCCTGGACCGCCCATGTGTGACTCACTGCCCATGCGCTGTCAACCCCAACCGGCGGTAACCAGCAATTCCCGCTACGTATATCCGGTCTGGAGAACAGAGAAGAAACCCAATAGTGGCCTCACTATTTGGGCTATCATGCATCCTGGCTGAATAATATTAATTGCTAAGATGGCTGATACGGAAATCATTGACATATGACAGAAATACTGACTCAAATTATATCAATAATCTGATATCCACCCACTGGTAGAAATCACCGAGACTTCTGTATTCAATTATAGTCACCCTACTAATGGGACAATGTGAGGAAGAAAGGGGGAAGGAAGGAAAGAAGGAGGGAGGGAGCGAGCAATTACTGAGCACCTTCCTTGTTGTGTCTGTCAGTGCGTGGTCTGTGGGCCACCTGCGCATATGGGATGCTGGTTGAAAATGCAGATTCTCTGAGGTGTGAGCCAGGAACTGGCATTTTGAACAATTTCCCCAGGAAATGTGTGGTTTGTCAACTCTGCCCTGCACAGCACGCACTGCGTTAGGTATTTTACGTATGTTCCTGGTTGTGCCCTCCAGAAGCTTGTGAGGTTGACTAGGACCACTCAACCAGTAAGGGGCTGAGCCTGGATGCAAACTCAGGTCTGGTTGCACAGGATGTGCGCTCCCACAGAGCTGCGCCCTGAGGAACACCAGTATCTTCAGAATAGTAGCCATGGTCACGGACTGCAGTTATTAGAGCTCATGTCACTGACCGCCATGCCCCGCTGGTGGCTTCCAACTAGACCCAAGGAGAGGACAGCAGGTCAAAGCTAGAGCGCAAGACCTCACATCCTCTCCCTCCCGACCCCCCGCTGCAGATACCCTGGCCAGCCAGTGACCGAAAAAAGAGTGAGTGCGCCTTTAAGAAGAAGAGCAATGAGGTAAGTGGAGGTGGGGGTTTAGGGGCGGAGAACCCCGGTCCCCAGACCATCACTGGAGGACGTCAGGTTGGGCAGGTAGCGGAGGAGGCTCCTTTCCATGGTGATCGTCTGCGCCACGTTCTGTGACGATGTCCAGGGACCGCCTCAGCAATCCCGGGCCCTCTCCCCGCTGGGAAGTGGGGGGCAGCCCGTGGGGCCCCGGTGTGTGGGGCAAGTGGCCAGACACCTGGATTCTCTGTCTCCCCAGACCCAGTGCTTCAACTTTATCCGTGTCCTGGTCTCTTTGAACGCCACCCACCTATATACCTGTGGCACCTTCGCCTTCAGCCCCGCTTGTACCTTCATTGTGAGTCACGGCACCCAGTGCTCAGACCCAAGCATCCCTTCTCACACCTAACCCCCCTCCTCTCGAGCTCTGGAAAACCCTGCTCTCCCGGATGTGGGACCCTCATGAGCTTCCTGGCCCCAATTCCCCTCCACGTCCCTCTCCCTCCCTCACGCCCCTCGTTTCCCAGACATGAGACTCTGGCGTTCTGGCCCCCAGCCTCTCCCCCCCTTTAGGAACTCCAAGATTCCTACCTGTTGCCCATCTCCGAGGACAAGGTTGTGGAGGGGAAAGGCCAAAGCCCCTTTGACCCTGCCCATAAGCACACGGCTGTCTTGGCAGGTGAGTATCGGGTTCCTGGCATCTGCTTTCCCGGGTCATTCTGTGAAATATGGAAGCTGACAGTTTCCTGAAAGGCAGGGGACAGAGGGAGGGAAAGGCAGGGGACAGAGGGAGGGGAAGCCAGGAGCCTCTGAACACCAGATCAGAGGGCGACTCAGCACCCCAACCCCCAGCTCCTGCTGATGCTGCCACAAAGGAGGTGGAGAGGGAGAGGTAGAGAGAGGTTCACATAGGTCTGGGAAGGGTCTTGGGCAGAGAAGAGGCCTGAGGTTCGGCCATTTGTTCCATAGAGCTTACAGAGAAATCACTATCCGTGTCCTCCCAGACAGACTCCCCACCTTGGCTTCCTGGACGAGGTGGCCCTTGGCTTTTGAGTGGGACCTCGAAAGATAGGTAGATGTGCAGGGAAGATGTTCCAGGAAGAGAAGGGTGGGACCAAGGTGTGGAAACAGAAAACACAGCCACCTCTGGAAGAGAGTGATTCTACTTGGCACGTGGTTCTGCTGGGTGTGTGAGGGGGCAGTGAGAGAAAGGTTGGACAAGGCCAGCACACAGAAGGACATGAGGGGTGGCTCCTCCCTGCGGCAGGGTTCCCTAACAACAGTGCTCAGTGGGGTCTGCCAGCTGGGCTATGGGCGCCACAGGAAGGTGGAGGGCACAGGAAGGGGGCCGGAGACCCATGTGGGTACTGGCCTGGGTCAGAGGCAGGTCTGAGGAGGGCAGAGGCCCCCTCCAACCGGGAAGCCTCCCGCCCTCTCCCCAGATGGGATGCTCTATTCTGGCACCATGAACAACTTCCTGGGCAGCGAGCCCATCCTGATCCGCACGCTGGGACCCCAGCCCGTCCTCAAGACCGACAATTTCCTCCGCTGGCTGCAGCGTAAGGACCCGAGCCCCCAGCACAGGTCTGGCCCTGCCCCGAGCGCGGGGACCCGGCCGGGCCGAGAGCCGCGTTCCTGCACTCCGCCGTCCTCCGTGCAGAGGCCCCTCTGTGCCGGGCGGCCCTGTTCGGGGGGGCGCAGTTCCCGACCCCGTGAGGCGACGGGAGCAGGCGCCCCCAGGGCACCCCTGGCCAGCCGCGGGGCATCCCGTCGGGCGGCCTGCCGCTGCAGAACCAGCCCTGGGGTGTCCCAACCTTAAGCCTATGTGCCCCGCCCCGCAGCGGACGCCTCCTTCGTGGCAGCCATCCCTTCGACCCATTTCGTCTACTTCTTCTTCGAGGAGACAGCCAGCGAGTTCGAGTTCTTCGAGAAGCTCCACACGTCCCGGGTGGCCAGAGTCTGCAAGGTCTGCGGCCGGGAGGGGGCGGGGCTGGCCGTGGAGGGAGCCAATGGGGAGGTGGCAGAGGCGGGACCGAGCGCCCAGGGCCCAGTGGGGGCGGGGGCGGGGGCGGGGCGCGGTGGGCGGGGCGTTCCTGACTCCGCCCCCGCGGCCCTAGAACGACGTGGGCGGGGACAAGCTGCTGCAGAAGAAATGGACCACCTTCTTGAAGGCCCAGCTGCTATGCTCGCAGCCCGGGCAGCTGCCCTTCAACGTCATCCGCCACGCCGTCCTGCTGCCCGCCGCTGCCTCCGCCGAGCCCCGCGTCTATGCGGCCTTCAGCTCTCAGTGGTGAGCAGCGCGGCGGGGACGCGGGGCCTGCACGCGGGTTGTGGGGTCCAGAGCGCTCACTCCACGCACTTCACCTAGGAAGGCATGTGCCCGTCACCACGTCCCAGGAATCTGACTCATGCCCTTCGTGTAGATGGGAAAGATAAAGCTCAAAGAGGTTCTTACTCCTTTATATCCTGCCGGGTTCCAAAAAGGATAGGAGGCAGTTCACGGAAGGCAAACATTGAGACCAGATAAGATCAAACCGATGAGGAAATGGGAGTAAAAGGAGAATAAGAAGGCAGGGATAGGGTCAGCACATCACAAATGTTTGTCATTTATGCAGTGTTGGGATGCTGGTTACAAACTTAGCTCTGAGCTTCCTAATGGCCAGAGCAAAGAGGGAAACACCATCAGTGTCACTAAGATAAAAAGTCATTGCTTGGAGGCTGAGAAAAGTTCATTGCATCAGTGTTTAGGTGTCTGCTGTCCGTGGGTCAGATACCAAAGATACCTGCTGTAAGCAGGGGCTGGTATCAGTGGCATCCAGAACTGAGAACATGGTGTGTGCCACAATCAGGTTAAAGAGAACAAGAGAAACCTGTCTCCACAGACCAGGGCTAGAGGAATAGAAGTAGCCTCATAGTCGGGCTCTGGTTGGTTGTCTGAGGATCAAGAATCCAGGGGACCCAAAGGAGCAGAGCTTCATCTGGAGCCTGTCAGGATCTAGTTACATTGCCCCTCCCATGGGTACAGCTCAGCCTGGGCAAGACAGGCAGGAGCCACCCCAAGACCCGAAACCCAATTAATTGTCCTTAAGGATAATCCTAAGATGGGCCAGAGTCAGGGGCTCTCCTAGCCCTTATCACCACGGCTGGGGGGAAAGTAGGCAGCAGTAGGCCAATCCGGCCCTCCACACTCCTGCCCTCCAGGGCTTTCTCACAAGGGTGGGTGAGGGCTGGAGGGGGAGCTTCATGGTAGAGCAGAAATGACCATGTCCCCTTGGGCTATCCCCAGGCAGATCGGTGGGACCAGGAGCTCTGCTGTCTGTGCCTTCTCCCTCAAGGACATCAAGCGTGTCTTTGAGGGCAAGTACAAGGAGTTGAACAAAGAGACTTCACGCTGGACTACTTATGGGGTCCCCGAGATCAGTCCCCGACCAGGCAGCGTGAGTACCACCCCCAGCACTGAGCAACCCTCCGCCCCCACTGATACACACATATCGCACATATCAAAGTATCTGTCATGGCACAATAAATGTCCAATAAATGTTAGTGCTCCCTGCCCTAACCAGTCCTGTCTGCTCAGATACACACCTGCTTCAGTGCCCCACATCCCATAGGTGTCCAGCCCATCCTACACACAGAGTCCCCCCCTCTGCTAAGTGCACCCCAAATACCTGGGTGTATCCCTGGGGAAACAAGGGAGCGTGGGCTGTGCCAAGGACTGCCTACGCTTCATCTGCATTTCTTATTAACTTTTGTGTTTTGATCAGAGTTGCATATGGCCACCATTAACAGAACCCTATAGATCTATACCGTCAGTTACCAAAAACAGCCCTGTGCCCTGTCTTCCCCTTTTCCCTCTCTAGAGGGACAACCACCTTCAACTCTCTTAGCTGATACTTTTGGTATTTATCTCCAAATCTCTAACATACTTTTATTACTACTTCTTGATGTTTCAGTTTCAGGCAGGATCTATTGAATTCCCGTTCTGGATGGTGAGGATTTACCTGTGCCCCCCACCCCCACCCAGTTATGTATGTGCCTATAGCAACCAGCAAGAACTGTTTCGGGGCATCTGTTTCCAAATTCATGTGCGCTGACATGACATTGGTGGCCCGAGACCAGCCAAGGGGGGAGTATGAGCCACGGCAGTGAACAAACAACGAGTCAGGGTTCCCTGACCCCCACTGCAACTGCTTTACCAGCACATCACTGCACCCACCCCTCATCTCCCAACATAGTTTTATAATAATCTTGGTTAGATCAGTATGTAGATTAGGACTCATGCACAGCTGAGCCAAGGAGCAGGCCCTGATTACTTTTCCTTTTTGCCTAATTTAAGAATTTCCCTGGGGTTAGTAATTATCTCTCTTCTTTTTCTTTCTTTCTTTTTTCTTCTTTTACTTTCTTAATTTTCTTTTTTTTCTTTTTTGGCTTGCTTTGTTTTCTAAGCTCTAAACATTAATTCAACCCCAAACTCTCCCTCAATGATCTGCATCTCTCTGAAGGCAGATCCGTTAGGCATTCTAACCGTTTCGTCTTCCTGGAGATTGTTCCTGTCTGCTGCAGTCTGGACCTCCATCCCGGGCACGGCCACCATCCTGGTATTTCCCTTCTCGTCATTCTGGGCATTTCCTTTGTATCTCTCTGTGACATCCTCATGTTTCTTACATCCCATGGCTTCTTCTTTTTTCTTCTTCTTTTTTTTTTTCACTATCTTTATTTTTTTAAGATTTTTGTTTTTAAGTAATCTCTACCCCCATCGTGGCTCAAACTCACAACCCTGAGATCAAGACTCACATGCTCTTGCGACTGAGCTGGCCGGGCCCCCCTTTTTCTTACTTTCTTATTTTAGTGGAGCAGAGCCTCCATAGATTCCTGAAAGAGATACATGGCAGGTACATTTTTTGAGACTGAATGTCTGAAAATGTCTTTATTCTACTTTTGCATTTGATAGTTTGATATGTGCATGTAATTCTAGACTAGAAATAATCTTCCTGCAAAACTTTGAAGGCTTGCCTTGTTATCTTCAAGGGGATGGACGTCCAGAGTTCTTCCGATTCTTAAGTCTCTGAAAGTCCCCGTTCTCACTGGAATCTAGTAGTGCCTTCTCTTTGTCCTTAGCTGTTCTGAAATTTCACAGTATTGCACTTTGATGGGACTCTGTTCCTTTATTTTGCTGGATGTTCAACCTACCCCTTCAGCCTGGAAGTTTAGTTCCTTCAGTTTGAAGTTTTCTTGAACAATTTCCTATTATGTTTTCATTTAACAAATATTTTTCGAGGCTGCCTGCCACTGTTCCAAGCTCTGGGGGACACAGCAGTGAACGAAGTGGACAGAAGTCCCTTCCCTCATGGAGCAGACTCTCATGTTAGGATGTTTTCTCACTTCTTACTGGGCCTCCTGGGCCGGTCCGCTCTGTCTTTAAATCCCAACCAGTTTCCCAAGCCTTTCGTTTTGCCCTACTTTCTGGGAGAGTGTCTCAATTTTATCTTCAAATCCTTCTATCGGATTTTTAATTCCTGCTAAAATATTTAATTTCCTAGATTTTTTTGAGCTTTTTTTAGCCTTTTAAAAAAATATTTTATTTATTTATTTGACAGAGAGAGAGAGAGAGAGACAGAGAGCGCGCACAAGCAGGGGGAGCAGCAGAGGGAGGAGGAAAAGCAGGCTCTCTGTTGGGCAGGGAGCCCGACGCGGGGCTCGATCCCAGGACCCCAGCTGGGATCATGACCTGAGCTGAAGGCAGATGTTTAACTGCCTGAGCCACCCATGTGCCCCTTTTTGAGCTTTGAATATCTCTCTCTCTTTTTTTTTTTAAGATTTTATTTATTTATTTGACAGAGAGAGACACAGTGAGAGAGGGAACACAAGCAGGGGCAGTGGGAGCGGGAGATAGAGAAGCAGACTCCCCGCTGAGCAGGGAGCCCGATGCGGGGCTCGATCCCAGGACCCTGGGACCATGACCTGAGCCGAAGGCAGACGCTTAACGACTGAGCCACCCAGGCGCCCCTGAATATCTCTTTTATAAAAACGTTCTACTCTAGTTTGTTGTTATTTAAACAGGTGAAATTTTCCGACCTGGCTCATGCCATTCAATTTCCATTTCTGTCGATCACACAGTGGTATAAAGCAGCAAAACTGGGGGCACCGGGTGGCACAGTAGGGCGCCACTTGGTTTCGGCTCAGGTCATGATCTCAGGGTCTTGAGATCAAGCCCCACGTTGGGCTCCATGCTCAGTGGGGAGTTTGCTTGAGATTCTCTCTCTCCCTCTCCCTTTGCCCCTCCCCCTGCTATCTCTCTCTCTCTCTCTAAAATAAAGAAATCTTTTTTTTAAAAAACAGCAAAACTGAAGGGGGGATGATTGCTGTGTATGTTCTAAATTGCTTTGAAGGGTCTCATTTGAGATAATTTGCCTAAGAATCTTGATCTTTTTTATTTTATTTTATTTATTTATTTATTTATTTTTAAGATTTTATTTATTTATTTGAGAGAGAGAGAGAGCACATGAGAGGGGGGAGGGTCAGAGGGAGAAGCAGACTCCCTGCCGAGCAGGGAGCCCGATGTGGGACTCGATCCTGGGACTCCAGGATCATGATCTGAGCTGAAGGCAGTCGCTCAACCAACTGAGCCACCCAGGCGCCCAAGAATCTTGATCTTTTTTAAATATTTGGAAACATCCAATAAAAATGAAAAGAAAGGGGCGCCTGGGTGGCTCAGTCATTAAGCATCTGCATTCAGCTCGGGTCATGATCCCAGGGTTCTGGGATCAAGTCCTGCATCGGGCTCCCTGCTCGGCGGGAAGCCTGCTTCTCCCCCTCCCACTCCCCCTGCTTGTGTTCCCTCTCTCGCTGTGTCTCTCTGTCAAATAAATAAATAAAATCTTAAAAAAAAAAAAGGAAAGAAAAAATGTTCTATAATAGAGAATGTCACACATGTATACAAAGTAGACAGAATAGTACAAGGGACCTCCGTATACCCACACATAGCCAAGCAAACTTGTCTCAGCCGTGCTCCACCTACCGCCCCCCCCCCGCCCCGGGGTATTTTGAAGCAGATTCCCGACAGGGCATTTTATCTGTATTAGTGTTGTAAGCTGCTGTAACAAATTACCACAACCTCCTGGCTTCAAACAACAGAGATGTATCCTCCTGCGGGCTGGAGGCCAGGCGGTGGAAGTCAGAGCACCAGCAGGGCGGAGGCTCTGGGGGAGAACGTCTCTGCTTCTCCCCCAGCTTCCTTCCGTTGGCGGCTGGCAATCCTTGCTGTTCTTGGCTCGTAGACACCCCAACCACTGCAGTCGCTGCCCCCGTCGTCACTTTCCCTTCTCCTCTGTATGTGTCCTTCACTTCTCGTGAGGACACTTGTCACTAGATTTAGAGCCCATCATAATTCAGAATGAGCTCATCCCAAGACTTTTAATTATATCTACAAAGACCCTTTTTGCAAATAAAGTCACATTCATGGGTTTCAGATGGATGAATGGGGGGGCACCAATCAACCCACTACATCGTCCATAAATATTTTAGTATCTCCAAATGATAAGGGCTTAAAAAAATGGCCGTAGTACCACTTCACACTGTAAAAATGAATAATTCTTTAATCTAATATGCATTTAGTATTCAAATTTCCAGTAGTCTCAAAGATGTCTTAAAAGTTGTTTAAAATACAGGATTTTTTTAAAGATTTTATTTATTTGAGAGAGAGAGACAGGGATGGCGAGAGAGAGCATGAGCGGGGAGGAGAGGGAGAATAAGGCTCCCCGCCGAGCAGGGAGCCCGATGTGGGGCTCAATCTGAGGGCCCGGGATCATGACCTGAGCTGAAGGCAGACGCTTAACCAACTAAGCCACCCAGCTGCCCCCAAATCCCATTTATTTGAATCAAAATCTAAGTAAAATATATAAGTTTGGATTAGCTATTTTTTTTTCTAGTTTATTTATTTAAGTAATCTCTATAACCAATGTGGGGCTTGAACTCACTGCCCCGAGATCAAGAGCGGCATACTCTTCTGACTGAGCCAGCCGGGCACCCTTTAGATCATTGTTCTTTTAAGTCTCTTTTAATCTGTATGTTCCCTTTTTTTTCTTGCCATTTATTTGTCCTATAGAATTTTTCTCAGTCCAGATCTTGGTGACTATGGGTCTCTGTGGTGGAGGTGCAGTATTTCCTACACCTTCGTTGGAGGTTGGGCCTAGAGACTTGGTCAGATCAGAGTTTGACTGGGGGGAAAGACCCCTTCACCGTGGTTGTGGGTCTTCTTCCGGGTCATGTGTGGCGTCCAGCTCCCTCTCTGCCGTGGGGCTCCTCTTCTGTAGCATTATGGTCTGGTTTCACCGGCACATGGTCTTCGCTCAGCTCTCGTAAGACAGCAGTAATACTTCACTGTGAGGGTCTCTTTTCTCTGCATCATTTAGCTTTTTATTTGTTTTTTCCATTGATTTGCTTTGGTCTCTTTCGTGTTCATGTTTTAACTCACACACCTGGTGGCCCTGGGCTCTCCGCTCGCATAGGAGTGGGGACCGTGAAGCTCTCTGGAAGTTTTGCCCCTGGATGTGACTCGTCAGCGTGGGCCCCTTGTTGCTCATGGAAGATGGCCTGGTTGGGCGGTTTTCTTGCGGACCACTGGTATCAACATTGTCAGGGCTTACCTATGACCTGCACTCGGTTTTCTGGAGGCCTCTTCCAGCCTTGTGCTTGGAGGGAGACGGCCTGGCTGCTGGCACCAGGGGGCCGGGGGGACGTGTCCCCAAATGCACTGCGCCTCTCCGCCTTCACCCCTGACTGCTGCCCTCACCCAGAGACCCTCTGCTTTCCCGTCTCCGGAGAAGGAGCCTCCAGTCCTGGGCCGAGGCCCGCAGGGTCGCGCAGGGGTGCGGGAGCCCAGGCTGCCAGGTGCACAGACTTTCAGAGGCTCTCCTGACGCAACCCCGCCCTTCCCACTTCCAGAGCTGGCCCGCAGCTCATTCATGACCTTTAGGAATTCTGCCTTGTAAATCAGATCATTTTGGCTACCCAGGGGCTGGCTTAAGAAGATTCTTTTCTTTTTTTTTTCCTGCTCAGTCTTTTACCATATTTGTTCATTTGCTTTTCAGCTTTCACCCTGTGGCTGTCTTTGCTTCCCCCTTGTCCCCCCCTTTTCGGGGGGGAGGAAGTGAGAGTAGGTGCATGTGCTCATTCTGGCATCAGAATGAAATACAGATGTTATTACCTCACATTGCAGATAAGGAAATGGAAGCTCACAGAGGGGAGTAACTTGTCTGAGGACACAGTGGCAGGTGACCGAGTGGGGCTGGCCCTGAGATAGCGCCCTGGGGTGTGGAGGACAAGGATCCCGACCGAGATCAGGACACGGCGCATGGCACGCTGGTGTGGGCAGGGCCTTCAGGGAACAGCCAGCCCACCCCCTGTCCACCGCCCCCTCCCCATTTTATGGGTGAGGAAAAGGAGGCCCTGAATGGAGAAGGGGCTCCACCAGACTTGTGGAGCAGGTTCATGCGACACCATCCCTTTCTGTGACGTCATTCAGTGACTGGCTCAGCAAACATTTATTGGGCACCAACTGTGTGCCCGGGCTCGTGCAGTGCAAGCCTGGGGCTGCTGACATGAGTGCATCATCCCTCATGCTACTTCCTGCCGGCTGCCAGGCACCCATGGGGAAGGCGTCAAGGACGGGAGAAGGACAACAGCTAACATTTGTTAAGTTCTTACTTCATGTCACTTTCCACATATCCGTGCGTTTCCTCTGCACAGCAAGCCGGTGATACGCGGCACTGTGTGCAGAGCCTGGAATGCCAAGCCAGGCAGCCCCAGAGGTCCATCGCCTCCTGAGAGGAGGACCGCCTTGAGGGAGGCCCAGCGGGGGTGGGGGGGGGCAACAGTGAGCTTGCAGGAGGGAGAGCGCTGATCCGATGCGCCTCCTTCCCCCTTTAGTGCTCCGTGGGCCCCTCCTCTGACAAAGCCTTGACCTTCATGAAGGACCATTTCCTGATGGATGAGCAGGTGGTGGGGACACCCCTGCTGGTGAAGTCTGGTGTGGAGTACACGAGGCTTGCGGTGGAGACAGCCCAGGGCGTCGATGGGCAGAGCCATCTGGTCCTCTACCTGGGCACCGGTGAGTAAAGGGCTCCAGACATCCCGCAGCGACCAAGCAGGGACCGCAACTCAGGTTGCGGAGGGAAACCTTGGAGTTCGTTCACTCCTGCTTTCATTCCGCAAATGCTTCCTGAGCACCTACTATGTGCCTGGCGCCCTGCTAGGCTCTAAGATATGGTGGGGTTACCCAACAATGCAGTCTCCATCCTTTCTGAGCTTTGAGTCTGGAGAGGGTGACGGACAAAGGAACACAGAGGGCTTTGCTGGCCTTAGCGGGAGCTGTTTGTCTCCCAGAGAAGCCACGTTAGGGCCACATTAGAGCCGTGAAGAGCGGCCAGGTGTCGGGCGGCTGGGAGCAGCGAGGGCAGGGCCTCTCCTTCAGGAAGTTGGCTGTGAAGGGCAAGTGGGGAGGGGGTGACTGGAGGAAGGGGGGGTCCCACCAGCATGTTTTTTTTTTTTTAAAGATTTTATTTATTTATTTGACAGAGAGAGACACAGTGAGAGAGGGAACACAAGCAGGGGGAGTGGGAGAGGGAGAAGCAGGCTTCCCGTGGAGCCGGGAGCCCGATGTGGGGCTCCATCCCTGGACGCTGGGATCATGACCTAAGCTGAAGGCAGACACTTAACGACTGAGCCACCCAGGCGCCCCCATGCTTTTGTTTTTAAAGATGGAAAGGTCCTCAGGCTCTAGGAGGGAGGCAGACGGTGAAGAAATGGGCAAGCCAGGGGGTAACTGGCAGGTGAATTGCAGAGGGAGCAGAAGCTGGAGTCCAGGACGTGGGTGGGGGCCAGCCCTCTGCTGGGATGGGGTGAAGGAATAGAAGAAGGTAAGGCTGGGTGGGTGTCCGGCAGGAAGCAGAGGCAGCTTTTACGGGCAGTCTTTTGTGATGGTCCAGGAGGAGGACACGGGGTCTTGGGCTGGGAACGAGGGGTAGAAAAGGGGGAGGTGTGAGGAGAAAGGGGTGGATTCAAAAGTCAGTGTGTAAAGAAGGAGCGAGAGTCAGCAGGGGAATGTGCAAGATTGCCGGGCGTGTGTATGGAGGGCCCAATGGGGGTGGATGACCTTGAGCTTCCATGGGAGAAAGCTACAGGTGCGCCGATCCTTCCAGGACACGTTCCCAGCCACTGTATCCGCTGCGCACATACTGGGTCCCAGCAGAGAGCAACAGACAAAAGCTCGGTGCTTGTGGAATGCATGCAGACAAACAACGAACGTACCACATGAGCCAAGGACTTAGCGTGTTATGAGACTAGAAACTGATTTTGAGGAAGGGTGGATCCGAATGCCAGCCGGGGAGGTGGCAATTTTTAACAGGGCGGTCAGCGCAGACCTCCCTGAAGTCCTTGGAGGGACAGCTGGTGGAGGTGAGGGTGGCTGCTGATGGGGTTTCTGCAGAAGCGCCTAGCTGCCCGCTGCCCCAAGTCCGTAGAGGAGTGGGTTGGGTTCTTGCAAAGGAAAGACAGAGAGGCCAGGGGTTCCAAGCCGTTTATAACAGCGTTCCCGTCAGCCCCACAGCATAGAGGGGAGCAGCCTGACCAGCCTGAGTCCGTGCTCCCTGTCTCTCCACAGCCACAGGCGCCCTCCACAAGGCTGTGGTCAGTGGGGACGGCAGTGCTCATCTGGTGGAGGAGATCCAGCTGTTCCCTGATCCCGAACCTGTCCGCAACCTGCTGCTGGCCCCTGAACAGGTGGCAAGGGGCCTTCTGCCCAGGCGGGGGGCTTGGGTGCTGGGTCCTTACTGGGTGTGCAGAGGTCACTCTCCCTCTCTTTTCCAGGGCGCAGTGTTTGCGGGCTTCTCAGGGGGCATCTGGAGGGTTCCCCGAGCCAACTGCAGCGTCTATGGGAGCTGTGTGGACTGTGTCCTGGCCCGGGACCCCCACTGTGCCTGGGACCCCGAGTCCGGAACCTGCCGTCTCCTGCCCACCCCCATCCCGTAAGTGCCGGGCCTGGACAGCGGTGGAGGCTGGCCCAGCGGGACCTTCTTACCCAGCATGTGGGGTTCTTCCTCTCTCCAGGGGCGACTGGCACAGCCCCTCCCAGGACCTCCCTCCTATGGCAGAGGCTCCTCCTGGGACGGGGTTGCAGTCTTGAAGCTGCTCCAGCCGGCCTGGGTTTACCTGCCCTCTTCTCTGTCCCACCCTGCCCCCCTTCCTCCCTCCTCTTCCCGCTTTGGTCTGTTTCAAGGCCTGAGGTTTGCTTTCCCTGCCTTCTCAGGAAGTCCTGGAGACAGGACACGGAACAAGGGAATCCAGGGTGGGCATGCGCCACTGGCCCCGTGGGCAGGAGCCTCCATCCTCAAAGCCGCCCCCAAATCAGTGAGTGTGGAACCAGGGGGTGCGGGGGAAGGCTCAGGTTGGTGTTCCCCCAGAACCTGCCCGGCTTGAGAGCTGAACACCCAGACCTGGGGTGGATTTGAGTCCTGGCATCAGGAGGGAGGATAGGAATTCCGAGCTGGGACCCAGGGTTGAGGCTGAAGTCTGTTTTGGTGTCAAGAGTCGGAGTCGGATGGACTGAGGGTCTGGGATCCAGACTGGAGATAGACGAGGGAGCAGAGCTGAGTTTGGGAGCTGAACTGGAAGGTGGAAGCGGGGAGTCAGGGTCCAAATGTCGGCAGAGCTTCCCTGCCCTCCTGCTCCCCTCCCTTAGCCGTCTCCTTCCTTCATCTACAGTTAAAGAAGTCCTGGCTGTCCCCAACTCCATCCTGGAGCTCCCCTGCCCCCACCTCTCGGCCCTGGCCTCCTACCACTGGAGTCGGGGCACGGCCAAGCTCCCAGAAGCCTCTTCGGCGGTCTTCAACGGCTCCCTGGTGCTGCTGCTGCAGGGTGGGGTGGGGGGTCTGTACCAGTGCTGGGCCATGGAGAATGGCTTCTCGTACCCTGTGGTGTCCTACTGGGTGCACAGCCAGGATCAGCCCCTGGCCCTGGACCCCGAGCTGGGGGGCATTCCCCGGGAGCGTGTGGAGGCCCCACTGACCAGGGTTGGTGGCGGGGCCGCCCTGGCTGCCCAGCGGTCCTACTGGCCCCACTTCCTCACAGTCACTGTGCTCCTGGCCTTAGTGCTTTCAGGAGCCCTCCTCATCCTCCTCGCCTCCCCAGTGGGGGCTCTCCGAGCCCGGGGCAAGGTGCAGGGCTGTGGGACCCTGCCCCCGGGGGAGAAGGCCCCCCTGAGCCGGGAGCAGCACCTCCAACTTCCCAAGGAACGCAGGCCGTCTGCCAGCGATGTGGACGCTGACAACAACCACCTGGGCACCGAGGTGGCGTAGACTCTGGGCGCAGGCTGCCGCCGCGTAGAGTAGGGCAGGCGCCCGCCGCGCTGCTGGGGGACCTGGGGCAGCGCAGCCCTGAGGGTGGGGGGGGACACAGAACACCACCTTCCCACCTTGTCACTGGTGGCCCTCAGCGGGGCTGGACCCAGCAGCCTGACCCCCCGTGGGCCTCCCCTCCACCGCGCACATGGGCCCTCCAACGGGCCGTCCCAGGCCTGGACCAAACAAGAAGACCTAGAGTGGATCCCTCCAGAAACATACTGCTCCAGGAGCCCCTAAAACACGAGACTGCTCCGGGCCCCTGTGGTAACGAAGCCCAAGGTATACACGAGTGGGCACGCCGCTGCCCGCCGTCCCTGGAGAGCCCCCCCCGCCGGGGGCAGCAGCCACCCCCACGGACACCAAGGCTCCACTGTCCCAGGGCCCTGCAGGGAGCTGCCCTGTCCTGCCCCCTTGTCCGCTGAGCACCGCTGACTCCCGGCAAGTGACCACCTTCCTTCTTGTTTCAGTTGGGGCAGACTGTGACCCCCTGCTGTGCTTGAGGAACAGGGCTAATCTGAGCCTTGTTCCCGCCTCTCCTCTGGCTGACCTCTTCAGCCCCCTCCTCTCCCCTTTCCTTTATTTTGGGATTCAGAAGACCGCTTGTCACAGACAGTTTATTTTTTATTAAAATAAAAAGACAAAGCTCACGACTGGTGCGGTTTCTGTGGGAGCCGAATGCTGCAGCAGAGGACCGCAGGGCGGAGGGCCTCAGCGGGGAGGAGCTCCAGGTTTGTGGGGCCCAGCTGCCTCCAAGGGCAAACCACCTGCCCTGCCACCTGCCCGCCCAGAACCAACCCCGCGGTGCTTTCCTCATCCATCGCCGCTCCCCGCAGCTGCTGGCCCCACGGTCCCCGCTCCCCTCTTGGTGGACTGAATTTACGGAGCAACCAGACCGTACAGCCACCCCCAGCCTGGCCACCCCCTTCCCCCCGATCTGACGATCTGACTAGCTGCGCTCTGTGCACACCCCTGTGTGGAGGCTTCCCAGAGGCTCCTCTCCGCAGAGACCCCAGCATTGCCCTCACCCTACCATCCCCCTCTCCCACCAGCCCCTGCGCTGGGTGTTCTCTGCAGGGTCCAAAGAAAGGAGAACGCTGCACCCCGCCCCCTCCACTGGCTCTCTTTCCCCATTCTTACCAACACCCAGAGGGGGTCCTTTCTGGCTGCCTGCCCATGGCTCCCCCAGAGAGGCCCTCGCCCCCTTGCATGCCCTGTGCTCTGGCTTTCTCCCCTACCTCTCTGCAAAAACGACTCTCTGAAGCTACCCATAAGCCCCACCGGGCCTTGATCTCTGTGCCACCTTCACACTTGGCCACTGTATTCCCATAACTCTCTTTCTCTGGGGCTTCTTTTTAAAAAATGTTTTTATTTTTAACATGGCACAAAGCAAACAATGTGTACTTCATGTAAGCGGAATCACACAGTATTTGGCCTTCGGCAACTGGCTTTTTTCACTCCCGTAACATCCTCAAGGTTCATCCATGTTGGCGGACTTCCTTCCTTGTTGGGGGCTGAACACTCTGCCGCTGTAGGTACGTTCCGCAGCTTCTTCACCTGTTCACATGCTGGGGGACACTCAAGTTGTCGCACTTCCTGGCTACGGTGAACACTGCTGAAGAGGTCTTGTGGGGGACAGTGCATTGCCTGCCCTTCTAGCTACTGCTTACCTCCACTTGGACACACCACAGACATCTCTAATGCAACATGTCCCAAATTCAATTTATCATCCCCTCCAAACCTGCTCTCTCTCCCATGTTCCCCTATGCTAGCTAATCACACTGCAACGTGGAGGCTTGGGGCTCACCCAGCACTTCCTCTCTCCCACCCCTCCACTCCATTGGCTGGGTCCCCACCCCATCTCCTCCTCCTCCTCGCTTGCCTGGGAATTCCTCAGAACCTCTGCAGTCCCAACAGGTCCTGACCACCTCACCAAGGCAACCAGAGCCGACCCCTAACCTGTCTCATCCACCTTTCTGCCACTCGCATCCAGACTCCATTCTCTGGCCTGGGTCAAGAGGAACTTACTAAAAAAAAATTTCTGCCTAAAATTTGAAGTGGCTAGGGGAGCCTGGGTGGCTCAGTTGGTTGAGCGTCCGACTCTTGATTTCAGCTCAGGTCATGATCTCAGGGTCGTGAGATGGAGCCCTGGGTCCGTGCTCTGCAGGGGGTCTGCTTGAGGTTCTTTCTCTTCCTCTCCCTCTGCCCCTCCCCCTGCTCGTGCACACACGTGCTCTCCCTTTCCCTCTCTCAAATAAATAAACAAATTTTAAGAAAAAAAAAAAAACTTGAAATGGCTTTTCATTCACTCCAGAGTAAAGAACTCCAGAATAACCTCCTGGGACAGTGTGCCTTTCCTCTAGTCGCTCCATACACACCTTGCACCACATGCTCACCAAGGCTGAGCACCTTGTACTGTTTTCCGGAAACCTTTACTGAGTGCCCAGCATCATTTCAGGCCTTGGTGACACAGAGATGAACAGACAACCTGCCTAACGGAACTAACAGTGAGGTTCCTTGAGGCATGCTGTTTCTTCCACCTGGGACATCATCCCCTCTGGATTCTTCTCAAACCTATCACACCGTCAGTGCCCTATGTACACCTCACTATAATCCCTTTTATACACTGTTGCTGCTTCATTGGGTTTCTGTGTGCCTGGACAATACTCTCAATGCTGAAATCCTTTCATTCATTCAAATATTTACTGAGCACCTCCTATGTGACAGGCACTGTCAGGCACCGATGGCACACTAATGAACAAAGCAGACACAGTTCTTGTGGTCATAGAGCATACATCCTAGTGTGGGAGACAGATGACAGAAATAAGTCAAACAGGTAGGGTGCATTAGATGGTGATGTGCTGGAAAAGAAAAAATTGAGTTGCAGAAAGAAGGTTGAGTGGAAGGAGTGTCTACAGTTTTAAATAGGAGATTCAGAGTAGGTCTCATTGATAAGGTGAAGCTTGAACAACGAAACAATGGAGTAAATGAAAGAAAGTACAGGCTATGTGGATGCCTGCAGGAAAACTTCCAGACATAAGAAGAAGCCGGTGCAAAGGCCCTGAGGCAGGAGTGAGAGTATTGGATGAAGGGAGAAAGATACTGGGTGTGCAGGGTCGGGGGGAGATTGTAGGACCCTGTAGGCCTTTGCCATTGTAGATATTGGCTTTTACTCCGAATAAATGGGGAACTGCTGGAGCATTTCTAACAGATGAGGGGACATGATCTGACCTAGAATTTAAAAGCGTCACCCTGGCTGCTGTCTTCTGATTAGAACATAGCAGAAGCAAGAGTGGAAGCAAAGAAACCGGTGAGGTAGCTTCTGGAGTCACCCAGGTGAGAGTGGTGGCTGAGGCCAGGCAGGCAGTGTGGAGGTGGTAGGAAATGGCCAAGCTCCGGCCACATTTTTGAGATGAAGCCCATGGTGTCTGATGACCGGCTGCATGTGATGGGCGAGAAACGGAAAGCGTGCAAGGATGTCCCCAGATACTTGGTCTGTTCAAACGGAAGAGGGGACTTACCAATGAACCGATGGAAGGAAAAGAATGTCTATTCAAGTCCTTTGTCCATTTTTAAATGGGTTGTTTGTCTTTTGTTGTTGAGTTGTGGAAATACCTCATTTGAAATGAACCGACTCTCCACCCCAGGCTTTCCAGTCGCTCATTTAAAGAGCTCTTCCTGGGGTGCCTGGGTGGCTCAGTTGGTTAAGCGACTGCCTTCGGCTCAGGTCATGATCCTGGAGTCCCGGGATCGAGTCCCGCATCGAGTCCCGCATCGGGCTCCCTGCTCGGCAGGGAGTCTGCTTCTCCCTCTGACCCTCCTCCCTCTCATGTTCTCTGTCTCTCATTCTCTCTCTCTCAAATAAATAAAATCTTTAAAAAATAAAATAAAATAAAGAGCTCTTCCTCTCCTTTTAAATCCAAATATAGGTAGCTTCAGAGCCGGACGAGACCCTAATGTCACTCACTCCACCTCCAGGATGGCCCCTATTCCTGCAATTTTTTGAGTTCTCAAACCTCAAAATCGGTTGCCTAACCTCAGTCCTTCCTGCTGCACATTGGCCTGTTTGGCACCACAGACGAGAAAAGTTACGCAAAAATTACAGATTAGATTGGAAGTTAGATTTCCAATAGACCCGAAACACAAGGTAACCCATTTACAACGGGATCCTCAAGAAGGCCCAGGTGACTTGGCTCCTGAGCACCGAGAAAGGACACGCACGCGCCGTAGAACTGAGGGCATGACGAGGCCCACGAAGGCGTGGCTTCTGCCCGAATTCAAGATGGCCACGGGCCCCGCCCATTCCCCCCTTCCTCGGGGCGGGGGGGTTAAAGCTCAGCGAGCCATTGGTGGACTTGCCCACGGCGTAGCCCCGCCCCACCCCGCGGGGGGCGGGAATGACAGTGTTTCAATTTCCGGTTCCGGCAGTACCGGGAGCCCGGTCGAGATGGAGGAAGATGCGAGCGGGGGCCGGAGGTCGCCGGGCATGGAGGCTAGAGTGGGCGCTGTGGCCTAGAGGTCCGGGCTCGGAGTTCGCCCCAGTCGCGGCGGAACCTCCCTGATCGGAGGAGGTAAGAAACGGCCGGCGCGGGGTGCCTGACGGCCACGGTCTCCGAGGACCTGGACCTGTCACGGCGGCAGCGGGTGCCTGCGGCTCCGCGGGAGCCGGCCTCGCAGCTCCGGGGCTCAGGGGCGACTGCAGCCAGGCGTCTGTTCCTGTCGGAGGAGCGGGGCGAGAGGCGTGGCACGGCCGGGTCCGAGCCCCGGCCCAGGGCGGCTGTGCGGGGGGCCAGGCCAGGCGCTGCCTGGACGGGTGTCAGGTGGTGTCAGTGATGAGGGATCACGTGGGTGCCTGTGGACGACCACAGGAGAGCTGGGGGGGACCTCACCGTGACGGAGGGAGGAGGTGGCCTCGAACGAGGGGTCGGAGGCACCGCGGGGACCTCCCTTGACTAGAGGAGGGCAAGCGCGTAAATGTATCCGCGCTCGCGCTGGGGGAGGTGGCTCCCAGGATGCTGCGTCTCGATGCAGATGCGATGGAGAACGGAGGAACAGAAGGGGGAAGCAAAGATCTTGTTTCCAGCTGAAATCGGGGACCCAAGCCTGTGGGTTGGGTCCGGAGCTGCAGAAGGGGGTTTACTTTGGTGGGGCTGGCTAGCCCGGAAAGCTCTGCCTGCGTCTAGTAACCATCACTGGGCCCAGTTCTGGTGACAAGTCAGGATGGAGTCATAATGGTCCTGGACTCTTTGAGTAGCGGTACCATTGTTATGATAATACTGACAATCCATAACATTTAAAGCAGTGTTTTCCAAACCTGGCACATTTAATCACCCAGAGAGCTTGTTAACATGTTGGCTCTTATTCGGCAGGGCGAGCCTGCAACCTGAAACTCTATTTCTAACAAGAAATACAGCTGATGTCCGGCGTGTGTGCCACTCTGAGTAGCCAGGATTTAGAGCAGCATTGTCTAGTAGAACTTTGTGCCATGATAGGGATGCTTTGCTGTTACAAAACGCTTTTACACGTATGGCCTCCCGTGAGTGGCTCCACACGATTATATAGCCATGGCAGGCCGACTGGCCCCGCTTCCCAGGTGAGGAAACTGAGTTTCAATGAAGTGACATGGTTCCAATCATACCAGTAAGTAACAGAAGTGGAACTCAAACTTGGATCTTCTGAGGACGGGTGTTCGTTCCACTGCATGACCTGGCCTTCCAGGTGGCACTGCCTTATCCCGAACCAGAATCTTATCTCAGAACCTAGTGAATAGTCTGGTGTGATGTTTCTGGTTCAGGAAGGGTGCAAGTGGAAGGGAGATGTGCAGAGACCACCAATCTGTCCCTTTCCCCTGCGCGGCTTGGTAGGGGAGGCTCTGCCTCTGACATCTCATTTGATGACTTCAGGGCATCCTGGGTCATCTGTTGGGTCCCCAGAGGAAGCACCTCAACCTCTGTGCCTGAGCAGATGTTAAAAGATGGGAGGAAATTCAGAATCGGAGCTGTGCACACAAATAAGGGTCTGGGAAAGAGCCGTAAAGCATGGGGGCTGATTGACTTGGGAGAAAGGACGGCTGGAGGAGATGTGCATACAGGTGTCCGCCAAGAGGATTTTCCAGCGGGTAAAACAAGAGGCACTAGTTTTGATGTTTCAGCAGGAAGTCTGGAAGTTATGTAACAGAGCAGGTTGAGACCCCACTTTTGAGGCGGGGGAGTGAGTGCCAGGCCCTCTCGCCTTCCGCTGTACCGGCTTCTCCCTCTGAGGCGTGACCCTTAGTGGCTTCTCCTGTCACCGTGGCAATGGTAGGAGATATCTGCTTTGGCCTTGGAGAGTTCCCCCTTCCTTCTGGGAATTTTTTTTTTATTTTTATTTTTTTTTAAAGATTTTATTTATTTATTTGAGAGAGAGAGAGAGCACAAGCAGGGGGAGCGGCAGAGGCAGAGGGAGAAGCAGGCTCCCCGCTGAGCAAGGAGCCTGATGTGGGACTCGATCCCAGAACCCCGGGATCATGACCTGAGCCGAAGGCAGCCGCTTAACCGACTGAGCCACCCAGGTGCCCCCTTCTGGGAATTTAAAATCAACAGGCACACGTAAGTGATGGAGGAAAGCAGAGAAACGGGGCACTGGGTCCTGCCTTAAGACTTCTCGTCTTCTACTGTTTTGTTTTCTTTTTTAAGATTTTATTTTGTTTGTCAGAGAGAGAAAGAAGAGAGAGCACAAGCAGGGGGAGCGGCAGGCAGAGCAGGCAGAGAGACAAGCAGGCTCCCCGCTGAGCAGGGAGCCCGATGCGGGGCTCGATCCCAGGACCCTGGGATCATGACCTGAGCCGAAGGCAGACGCTTAAGGACTGAGCCACCCAGGCGCCCCAGAGATATTGGTATTTTGTGACTCAGCTTGACAAGTTCAGAAGGTCCTGGGACGGAATCCGCTGCTCTGCCTTTCTGTCCTGCTTAGCACACAGTTTGCACAAACCCGGCAGGAGGCTCTCTTGCTTGGGCCCAACTGTATTTGTCCTGTGACAACAACGTGCTGGCCGGCCACTCAGCTCGGTCAGTCACTCCACCAGCACACTGGGAAAGCAGGGGCAGCTCTTGGTTTCTCTGGAACAAAGCTGAGAGAAATCTCTGGTCATCTGGGGGGCCAGGAGCTTATGCTTAACCCTTGGGTGACCAGCAGCCATGAGGGCATTAATGCTGCCGCCCACGGGTGGGAGTGACTTGGCTTTAGATTGAACAGTGTGACTTGTGTTGGAACTCCTCTCCTCCCGTGGGGTAGAAGGCATGGTCAGTAGAGAAGAAATCTCGGCTCATATCGTGCCTCCACCACTGACCAGCGGCGTGACCTTGGACCTGTTCCTTTTAACTTATCTGATGCGGTGTCCTCATTTAGCAGAAGTGTCTAACTGTGCACAGGTTAAGTTGTAAGGATTACATGAGGTGATAGGTATTCAGAAAATCCTAGAGTCTCTCTCTGCTCATGGCTCAGTGGTGTTGGAAACATGACTTTGGGACCCTGGATAACAAACACTCCGGGCAGGGCAGACAATGACACCTTCTCTTGAAGCCTTAGAGGAGAGGACTGCTGGGCTTGGTGGGTGTCCCCGGCTGAGGCTGGGGAGGAAGGGCCACTTTTGCCCCCAGCAAGTGACACGGCAGCGCTCCTCTCGCTCATTGCCCACATCCCACGTTTGGGCCAAGCTGGTTGTTCTAAGCCATCGTTTGCTGCTTTCGTGGTCGACATGCATTCCTGCCCCGTTCAAAGGGCTCTGCCCTCCAGGGGTTCCTCCCATTTGCCTCACCTGGAAGCTGAGGTTTTCCCTCAGCACACAGGTGCTCGGCTTGCACTGCAGGCAGCCTGGCCTTCTGTGACGGTGACACAGTCCAGCTGGCGGGCGGGGGCCGGAAAGCTCACTGGGCTTCTCTGCTGACTTCCGTGGTAAAGTGAGAAGCTCCTCAGGCTGCTTGGGACCTTTGGTTGGGGAAGGTGGTTGAGGATGGACTCTGTTTAGACACCTGACATGAGGCTGGCCAGGGCGCTGGCTTCGGGAACATTTCAACTTCTAGAGTTGTCCCTTTTATGTGGCCACCTCCTTTCCCAGCCTGTCGGGATTTCTCCCAAAGCCTGGGGAGCCCCTGACTTCTCATTGCCACTTTCGCTTCCCCGTTTCCCCTCTGGCTGAAACTGTCCAGTGTCCTACCCAGGAACACATTACGTTGTCACCAAGAATATGTCCAACATATCATGACATGCTGTTTGACAGTTCTTAAGTTGGAAGCTCCTGATTTCATACAATTATTACATTAGTACTAGTTTTGTTGGAGAACTTAGGCAGTGGATACACTTGACCTCAGAGCCACGTTACAGTACTTTGACCTGGATTCTTTCTCTCTGTATCTTAGATCCATTCCCCAGATGGATGCTGTTGTCTTCGGGAACAGACTGTGCGTTTCTTGAAGGCAGAGTCTGTATCTTCCCTGTCACTTGAATCTCCCCTCATTATACAGGACAAAGGTTATGATTTCTGTGCTTAGGGGTGAGAACGGCCAGGCATGTCCTCTGCCCTGTGGTTCTCAAGACTTCAGGGAAACCACTTAGCTCTCTGCTGGTTCTTTCTTTTCTCTAGAGTGAGTTATCTAATAACCCAAGAGGACTCTGACCTTTGGCTTGTCCCTAACTTTGTAACTCCTTTCACTGGAGGGAGGGGGGGAGGGGGTGCCACATTTTCTTCTAATACAGACTAGAGGAAAGAAAAGTGTAGTGAGTGTGAGTCAGGGGAGCTCAGAGAGGCCAGCACGGGGAAGCCAGAAGCAAAGTAAGGTGAGGCAGCTTGTAAATGGTGCCGAAAGAGGCACCCTGCTGAGGGTCGAAGGTCAAGGCCATGCCTCCTCAGTGGGCCCAGGAGCATCCCAAATGGAGCACTTACTTCCCTTCCACATTAGGAACCTGCTAAGCGTCACTTAGTGACATCCCTTAGTCCCACTTGGAGGACCGCCTGGCAGGATGCAAGGCCCTCAAGCGGGACCAAAGCCAGAGCAACACAGCATCCTGAGCTCCGCCTGGGTGAGCAGAGGAGGAGCTTGGGCTGGGGCACCAGGGCCCAGGCAGAGGCAGGGACTGTAGTGGGTGATTTGATCAGCCTGGGCAGGGAGCCGAGGTGGGGGTGGGGCTGCTGGAGTAGCTGAAGTGTGGAGCAGCTTCTGGAGTTGGGGGAGGGATGGTAAAAGAGGCGGCAGGGGGGGCAGCATCCTGATCCCCGAAGGAAGACTCAGGCAAGAGTCGGCCAAGCTGGACTGGAATCTAAACTTTGGGGAGGTGGGTACCCCAGGAGATGAAGCCTGAGGACGGGGCTCGGAGCCTAGCCAGCAGGACAGAGTGCAAAGCGCTAGCCTCCTTCCCCACGTCCTCCCGCCCGCTCACGTCCCTAGGTCTCCAGGCGCCATGGAGGATAAACGCAACATCCAGATCATCGAGTGGGAACACCTGGACAAGAAGAAGTTTTACGTGTTTGGTGTAGCAATGACGATGATGATCCGTGTCAGCGTCTACCCGTTTACCCTCATCCGCACCCGGCTGCAGGTCCAGAGGGGCAAGAGCCTCTACCACGGGACTTTTGATGCCTTCCTCAAGATCCTGCGAGCAGACGGTGTGACTGGCCTCTACCGGGGGTTCCTGGTCAACACCTTCACCCTCATCTCTGGCCAGTGCTACGTCACTACGTACGAGCTCACCCGGAAGTTTGTCGCTGACTACAGCCAGAGCAACACGGTCAAGTCTCTGGTGGCCGGGGGCTCGGCCTCCCTCGTGGCCCAGAGCATCACCGTGCCCATTGACGTGGTGTCCCAGCACCTGATGATGCAGCGCAAGGGCGACAGGATGGGCCGCTTCCAAGTGCGAGGGAGCCCCGAGGGACGAGGGATTGTAGCCTTTGGCCAAACCAAGGACATCATCAGGCAGATCCTGCGGGCTGATGGGCTCCGAGGCTTTTACCGAGGCTACGTGGCTTCACTGCTTACCTACATCCCAAATAGTGCTGTCTGGTGGCCCTTCTATCACTTCTATGCAGGTAAGGGGGGGCCGGGAGAGCGGGGATAGAGGGTGGGCCTGCTCCCGCGGCCAAGATGCTGGGGCCCTGTGTGCGCTGGAGTGGAAGATTTCATGGGAGAAGGGCTGTTCATCCAGCAAACATTTAACCCCAAGAGCATTCACAGATGAATGAGACACGGCTTCTTGCTTTCAGGGAGCTTAGGTTACTGTGGGGGGACTCAGACGAGTAAAGTAGATGACTGTAGAACATCAAGTATGTGCTGGCTGCCTTTCAATCAATGAGGGTTAGTGGAATTTTGGTGGAGAATTGGAAGGCGAGGAAGGACAAAATTCATGGGATATTTGGGATTTGAAGATGAAATTTCAAATTTCAGATGCGTGTTTAAGTTGGATGCCTTTCCTCAGCATTGTTAAATTCAAGATGTCCTAGAGCCTTGAACCCCTCCGCTCCCAGAATGTATTTTTGTTCGTAAGACGTTTTCCTTCTTTTTAAGTATTTCCCAGATATGGATCACTGGGTCCCAAGATAACACTTCTGAGGGCCTCGATAAACATGTTGCCACATTTTCTTCTGGAAGGGCAGGGTGCCTTGCCAAGAACAGGACCTGAGCGTGCCTGTGACCCTTGGCATCCACAGCGTTGGGCAACCAGCAGACTCCCATGAGGATGGTCTCTGCTTGAAACCTCCCCAGGCCCTGCTGCGGGCTCCTGAGCCTTGGCGGTGGGCCTTCTGTCCAATTTACCTGGGACCTTCCTAACCAAATTTCATATTGACTTCCTAATCTGTAATCATCCTATCCCTCTGGCACTCCACGTTTGTGATTCTCCCTTTTTCCTGACGGTACCTTCCTCTTTATTGCTAGCTCTTTCTCTCTCCTGTTTAACACAGTCTTTCTTCCTGAATATTTGGTAAAATTCACATACCCAGACTCCACCCCTGGCCCTTTGCATCAGATCTTTTGGGAATGGATCCTGCTAATCTTAATGTTAAGAAAAACTCCAGAAGGGGCGCCTTCGGCTCAAGTCAGAGCCCTGAGATTGAATCCCGCATCAGGCTTCTTGCTCGGCGGGGAGGCTGCTTCTCCCTCCCCGCCTCTGCCCCTGCCTCTCTTCCTGCTTGTGCTTTCTCTCTCTCTCTCTCTCTCTCTTTCTCACTCTTAAAAAAAAAAGAAAAGAGGGCACCTGGTGGCTCAGTCATTAAGCGTCTGCCTTCGGCTCAGGTCATGGTCCCAGGGTCCTGGGATCGAGTCCCGCATCAGGCTCCCTGCTCCGCGGGAAGCCTGCTTCTCCCTCTCCCACTCCCCCTGCTTGTGTTCCTGTTCTCGCTGTCTCGCTCTGTCATATAAATAAATAAAATCTTTAAGAAAAAAAAAAAAAAGAAAAACTCTAGGAATTGTGAGCATTTTCTCTGGCGTCTGTCTTCGCCCCTCTCTCCTCATGTGATTTCATTTACAATTGACTTGTCCTTTTCTGCCATGTCAGAAAATCTGTGTCTATCCCCAGACTAATTTTCCAGAGCTCTGGACAGACACTCTGACTGTTGGGCCTCTCGACTTGGATGCGTGCATTTATATCTGAAACGTTATTCAGCGAACTATTTTTCATCCCAAGCTGGTTGACTCACTTCTTTCTCTCAGCGGCCACATTATTCTCCACATCACTGAGACTGTCACTCCCTCTTCCTCGTCCCCACATCTGGTCCTAGTGACCCCAGAATGTCTTTCCCTACTCTCTGTCCATTTCTCCTGCCTTCCCTGGAAACCACGCCTCAGTGACCACCCTGCTGGGTGCTGTGCCAGCCCTCTAGCTGGTCTCCCATCCCACCTACCACACACACCTAATGGAGTCACTCTTCAAACCCTGGCTGTGGTGCTCAGCGGCCCCACCGCTCACCGAGTACAAGCCCAGCTCCTCAGTCTGGCTTCCACCTCCCTTTGCGGAGGAGCGCCCCCTAGTGTGGTGTGTGCAGCAGCCAGGCCAGATCATGCACAGATCCTCCACTGCATCGTGTCTCCCACCCCTGCTTTGTTCCTCTCGGCCCTCCAGGCGCACCTGCCCTGGGAAGCCGTGACATGCCCAAGTGTTCCTTACTGCCTCCTCACACCGCTCCGTGGAGCCCTTAACCCAGAAGCGACGTATCACCTGCCTTGATGTCATTTGTGTGTGCCTTATCTCTTCTACTGGGTGGAAAGGTTCCTTTTAAAAAAAAAATGCATTTTTTAATTGAGATACAATTGAGATACAGTTGATTGGAAAGTTTCTTGGAAGTGGGAGGAAGCTAACACTGAATACGCACTACCTGCCAGATAGGCTCTGGGCCATGTGTGCTTCGTAAATATATGTTGAATGAGTAGAGTGGTTCTTGTCATTCCTTTTTGCTTAAAATCTACCAATGCTACCTTCTGGGCATTTAGAATAAAATCGAATGTGTCCGTAGTCAGTGCAGGTCTCCATGATCTGGCCCGTCTGCTGTGCCAGCCCCATGGTGGGCCTCTCTCCCTTGCTCTGCTCCATCCTCACTGTCCTTCTCTCTGTTCCTGAGACACACCAAGCTCTGTTCTCATCTCTCTGCCTTTGCAGATAATGTTCTCTCAGTCTGGAGTGCCCCGTCCCCTGTTCCCCTTCTCGTGCCCCAGACCTCAGCCTCCATGCCACGTTTGCAGAGAAGACTTCGTCACCCAGTTGGAAAAAGGGCTCTTTCTCTTTTCTTTTTTGGCTTGTTTCCTTCATAGCATTTGTCATAATTTGCGATCATTTTATCCTTGACTCACAGCTCCCATGAAGGCCCTTCCCTGTTCATTTCTCTGTTGTATGTCCTATGCTCACTGCAGTGCCTGGCGTCCAGTAGCATTAAATAAATATACGTTTATATTACTGTTCAAAATCATGTAGCCAGGAGGGACTTAAACCAAGTCAGCCTGGGTTTATCATCTTCTGCTTTGCAGATAAGAGGTGCCCAGTTAGTGCTTATTGAATGAATAATGGAGAGCAAAGACATGGGGCTCTTTCCCCCACTCTCTTGCTTTGTTTTTTCATCCTCTCCTGAAGTCCCAGGAAAATGGCATGTGTCTATGACTCCAGTTGGAACCTGGATCCTGCTGTGGCTTGCAGGCCTGGGGGCCAGTTCAGACAGGCCCATGGAGGCTGGCAGCTCCCGGCCAGATGCCACTTCCAGTGGCCGCAAGATGCTTCCTTCTCAGGAGAAACAGGATACGGGTGAGGTGGCGGTCACTTTGTCTTGGTTTGTGCTGACCCTGGGGGAGGGAGGGAGGTGATTAGCAACCAGGGGAGAGGTGGTTCTGGCCGGGCATAAGGAGTCCTGCCATGCTGCCAGATTTAGAGGTCTTCACGTCTGCCCCACCAGCCCCCACCTTCCTTCTGTCCCCTCATCTTTAGGTGGCCACAAATTACCAAAAGTAAGGGCAGAGAAAAAAGTTCTTAAAAGTTCTATGGCAACTGAACTGTAGAGAGAAGACGGAGACCAAATCTCTGAGATGATGAGTCTACTTTACATCCAGCCTCATTCAGAGCGAAAAGCTCTCGCAGTGGCTTCAGGGCCCTAATGACTTACCTCTCGGACTTCGTCTACTCTTGTTGCCCTGCTCGCTGCGCTCCAGGTACTCGGGCCTTGCTGCCCTCGAAGACTTAATGCACGCTCTGGCCTCAGGGCCTTTGCATAGGATGTTACCTCTGCTTGGAAAGTTCTTTCCACAGATCCGTAGGGCTTGCACCCTCAAACTTCAGCCTTCTTGGAGAGGGTTCCGTGACCACTGTGTTTAAAACGGCAACCCCTGCATTCCCAACACTCGGCATTCCCTGTCTCCCTTTCCTGCTCTATCTTTATCTACAGAGGGCACACATCGCCTTCTGACATCGCTATATCTTTTGCTTTTTATTGGGTTGTCTGTGTTCCCCCAGTAGAATGGAAAACTTTCTAAGGGTGGGATTTGAGCTTGTGTATTCACTCTCCATCCTCAGGGCCTGGGGTGGCTGGCGCATGGTGGTGGCCGCTCAGTGAGCCTCTGTTGAACAAACGAGCTCTTGTCTTTCACCGCTAGAGAGGGTAAAGCTAACAGTTCAGCTGCAGTGAGTTCCCAGTGACCAGGGAATGGGTGAGTCTGGGTCCTCTGCCATTGTCTCCATCAGCATTTTTGAAAAATGAGTTTTTCTTTCTTGATGTAGCCTGGAGAAAACATCTTACTGTTGGATATGACTTTCTCTTTTGTCATTGTTTTTATTTTTAAAAACATTCACGTGGGTGGGGGGGTGCCTGGGTGACTCAGTCAGTTAGGCGTCTGCCTTCAGCTCAGGTCATGATCCCAGGGTCCTGGGATCGAGCCCCGCATCGGGCTCCCTGCTCAGCGGGGAGTCTGCTTCTCCCTCTGCCTCCGCCTCTCCCCCTGCCTGTGCTCGCTCGCTCTCTCTCGCTCTCTCTCGCTCATGAATAAATTAAAAATCTTTAAAAAAATTCACATGGGTATATACATAATGGAATATTAGCCATAAAAAAAATGAAATCTTACCATTTGCCACGACGTGGATGTAGGTAGATAGTATAATGCTAAGTGAGGTAAGCCAGTCAGAGAAAGACAAATACCGTAGGATCTCACACAAACATGGAATTTAAGAAACAAGACAAACAAAGAAAAAAGAGACAAACCAAAAAACAGACTCTTAACTCTAGAGAATACACTGCTGGTCGCCAGAGGGGAAGTGGGTGAGGGACTGGGAAACAGGTGAAGGGGATGAAGGTACTTTTATCATGATGAGCACTGAGTAGTATATAGAATTATTGAATCACTATATTGTACCTTGGAAACTAATATAACACTGTATGTTAACAAACTGGAATGAAAAAAATATAATAAAAATATTCACATGGCTCAAAATTCACAAGGTTAGGAAGGGGATGCAGTGAAGAGGCTCCTTGCCCTCTGTGGTCACCCTGCCCCTTCCTCAGAGAGCCAGCGCTGCCGGCCATTTGGTGCATGCGTGAGAAAATGGGCCCGTGCGCGTCCCTGGCCGTGAATTGAGAGGAGTAGAGCACAGCCATAAGGTGTTTACACCAGGGAGGATTTCTGTCCATCAGATGAAAGGAACTGGCAAGCAGAGAGGTTCTGAAACCCCTTCTCCAGAGGAATCTTCTGTTCAAAGTGGGCAATGTACCCAGCATGGCTTCCGGAAGGGCCCTGAGATTCCTCAGTTTTGTTGGTTCCGATGGAAGCAAAGAAGAGAAGAGAAGATGGGAGTTCTGGGGTCTAAGGAGGCTGAGGATGGAGAGGGTTCATCCTTGTTGGGCACAGAAGCAGCATGAGGGCAGACCGCATGGCGCCTCATGTCTTGAGGCATTGTCTTTCCCTCGATTCCAGAACAGCTCTCGTACCTCTGTCCTAAGGAGTGCCCGCACATTGTCTTTCAAGCTGTGTCGGGGCCCCTGGCTGCAGCCACCGCTTCCATCCTCACCAATCCCATGGACGTCATCCGCACCCGAGTGCAGGTAAGACCAGCCTCCAGCCCGGTGAGGAGGGTGACCTGCGGGCTCCCCAGCGCTCCCCTGACCTCTCTGCATCATGGCCTTCTGGTCCAGCCGGCCTTGTCCTGACCCCTTCCTGTGGTCAGTTAGCATCTTCAGAAACCAGTTGAGCACGCTGAAGCACCTAGTGTTTCCCTCGTGATGTCTGCGGACTTGCACGCCCTGCTCCTGTCGTTGCACACCCTGCTCCTGTCCTTGCATGCCCTGTTCCTGTCCTTGCATGCCTGTTCCTTTCCTTACACGCCCTGCTCCTGTCCTTGCATGACCTGCTCCTATCCTTACATGCCCTGCCCCTGTCCTTGTATGTCCCTGCTACTGTTCTTGCACATCCCTGATTCTGCCCTTGCATAACCTGCTCCTGTCCTTGCACGCCCCTGCTCCTGTCCTTGCACGCCTGTTCCTGTCCTTACATGCCCTGCTACTGTCCTTGCACGCCTGTTCCTGTCCTTACATGCCCTGCTCCTGTCCTCGCCATGCCCCCCTGGCTCCTCCCTGCCTTGCCTCCTGTTAGCCGATCAGACACCTTTTCCTTACTTTGCAGGTCTATGGTTATTAGAAATATATCCATTTCAATGAATTCCCTAAGTCTGGTTTCTCCACTGGGCCGAGTTCTCTACAGACTGTTCTTGAGTAAGCCTCACAGACTGGGCCATGTGGACTCAGCAGAGATGCTGACAGAGCCCTTGGTGGCGCTGTCCAGAGATGACCGTCCCTGTCCTCTCAGCCCAGAGATCGTCCCCCAGCACCTAGTCCAAGGAAATAGAACCTGAGTATGGGTGTCAAATGGCGCTCTGCCGTCTAAAGCTTTAGGTGGAGAGAATGGGGGATTTTGATGTCTGAGGCGGGTAGAGTAGGAGGACAGCTGTCCGGGAGAGTGGGGTCACTGGTGAGGGCAGGAGGGGAGGAAAAGAAACTCAGCAGCTTGGGGGTGAGGTCAGCTTCCCTGATACCGGGATGCTGGGATGGAGGTGGCTGGTAAATCTAAAGGTATATTTGTCCCTAGGAAAGAATGCTGCCCCCACACACTTTTGAATGAATAAATTGGCATTTGATGGGTTTGCAAATCATAAAGTGCACAGGTTCCCTCCTCGTTCTCTTCTGAGGCTTGTTTTGAGTGTTCCCTGAGGAGATCCAAGGGAAAGGACAGGTGTCTACTTCTGAGGCACCCCCAGGCGGGAGGAGACCAAGCTAGCTGAGCGGCCCTGCCGCTGCTGTGGATACGTGGGAGGGCCGGGGGCAGAGGCGGGCAGAGGAGAGTACTGCAGAGGAAGAGCGGAGTGGAGGAGGGGGCTACAGGAGGTGGGGGGGAGGGGGGTGATGCTCTGAGCCGGATATCACCTTGTGAACATCATCCACTCTGGGGAAGTATGGCAAGGAGAGCAGGTGTCCTGCACTGGCTGAGGGTCTGAGTGGGGCCAAGTGTGCTTTGGTGGCAGGGTCCGGGGAAGGGGGCAGGAACAGAGAAGATTCTTGCCTTAGCCAAACGTCCACTGTGGCAGGGAGCAGGGGTCCCGGGGTGAGGGGAGGACTCCCAACTGTGGGGACTAAGGGACTGAGGTGGTTGGAATGGAAATGACAGACCGGCAGGGCCGCGAGCACCCGGTCTCCCTGAGGCCAGAGACACGCAAGCAGGACAAGGACAAGGACCGCAGCTGAGTGGCCGATCTGCTGGCGGTAGTAACAGCTCGCAGTTACGGGGCGCGTGTGTCTGTCAGCGTTGACTGCTCAGAACAACCGCAGGGGTGGGTACGCTCCATTGCTGCTTACATGGGAATGGACTGAGGTGCAGAGAGGTGACTGTGTTCCCTGAGGTTGCGCTCTTAGTAAGCTGGGGAGCAGAATTCAACCCAGGCAGCCTGGCCCCGGAGCCCACATGAAGCCCTGTGCCGCACTGTCCCTTACAAGCACAGTCCAGCCCCTGGACCCCAAGGCAGAGGGAGCCTGCGCCGAGCGACTTCGACTGCAGACCGTGGCCCTCCACTGTGTTGCTTTTCCAGGTTGAAGGCAAGAGCTCCATCATCCTGACCTTCAGACAGCTGATGGCAGAAGAGGGGCCTTGGGGCCTCATGAAAGGCCTCTCGGCCAGAATCATCTCAGCCACACCCTCCACCATTGTCATCGTGGTGGGCTACGAGAGCCTCAAGAAACTCAGCCTCAGACCTGAGCTGGTGGACTCAAGACATTGGTAACCCGTGGAGGGGAGCGACCCCCGCTGTTTGCCACACTACTCTGGGGTGGGGGCAGCGTGGGGAGGGTAACACCCCCCCCCCCCCCGCCCCGTGTCCCCACCACATCCGAAGCCCTGCCCTAGGCCGGGTGGCCTGTCTGGGACAGGGCAGAGACTGAACTGCTCTTGCTAAAGAGACTCCACACCTGGACCCCTGCTCCCATTACTTTTTATTTTCTTGCCAAACTGGGCTCCCTCGCTCAGTCTGGGTCCTCAGTCCTATCGTAAGGAAACCCACCGTCCCCACCAGTTCCACCCCACCCATCCCCTGCGAACCCTTCTTCTGGCTTCCCCTGCCATCTGTGCCCCTGAGACCCTGACAAGAGCTGTACATAGAGCTTGCTTATTATCACTGGTCCTCCTCCCGGGCTTTCAGCCCAGGTTCCATCAGCTGCCATCAGCCCTTTCCTGCTTCATCTCTCAGGCTTGCTTGTTTTTATTTTGGGACTGAGCTGCCCACCAGACTGCTCTGCTTTTCCCTGCCACCAGGGGGAGGGGGGCACGGTGCCAGGTACTTCTGCACAGGGAGTAGGAGCAGAAAAACCTCTGGTTCTCCAGAGCACTCGTCCTCTCTTTGGAGAGTTATTAGGTCGGGGACAAATGTCGATACTCTTATTTTGTGTGTGTATTTTTTTAACATCTGTGAACTAGGTACTGTCAGTCCTGCTGAAGCACCAGTCCTGCAGTCAGAGCCCACCCCTTTCTCAGACGGGTGGAAGATGAGGCTTTTCCCTCAATCCCAGTTGCTCGTCCCTTCCACGTTCCTTCAGAGCCAGCCGCCCCCGGACGCACAGGCCCGGGATGACTAGAGGGGCGGGCCCAGTTCTGAGTAGATGAGGCCGCCTGGGCCTGCTGCCCCCAGGTGGAGAGAGAGCAGCTGCTCCGGAGCAGCCCAGTGAAGCCGGGCCCTGGGCGGGGGGGCCGCCCGCGTCTACACCGCAGTCACTGGGACTCACGGACACACAGGTCTCCCAGCGGGAGTCTCCGAGTCGTGGAACCACTGGTGTTTCTCTTTTCTTCATCCCAGTCACGGGCCTCCGGAGGGATTCTTGGGAGACAGTGAGGAGCGGGGCAGGAGGTCACCCGCCCCAGGACCGCTGCACTTACCAGCCCGACACTGCCCAGCTGGTCTGGCGGCCGCCACCAAGCCTGCGATGCGGGCGCGGCGCCCCCGGGACAGAAGGCCTGTCAGACCCCGCACTCGCACTGCACACGTGTGGCTGGATGAGCCTTCCCGCCTGTCATCGGCCCCACCCCTGGGAAAGGCCACGGTGCCACTTGAAAGGTGCTAGCTGCCCGAGGCCTTGACGCTTCTCACGGCTGCCCCCCTTTCCGTCGCCCTGGCCGGATCAGAGCCAACCGCGCTTCTCCACCTTCGCCCCCACCGCCGCCCGTCTGGGCCTCGAGTCTTCGAGGGCTAGCCCCCTTCCCCCACCTTCGGTTTTGTGTCCCCTCTCCTCCTTTGTCAGGTGTCCCCGTGTCTGTCCACTAATGGTCAGCCCCCCCGGGGCGCACAGGTGACTCCGAACCCCCTGCCCCCACGCCACCCACCTGCCCCAAGAGCCACCAACAGGATCGAGGCCAGGGCCCCCCCGCTCTCCCCGCGCCTCAGTCCCACACCTCCTCCCTACAGGCCCGTCTGCGGTCCGCCCCACGCGGGCCGTGTGGTGGCAGGAGGCGGTGTGCTGCCCCGCCAGTCTCAGGAGGTGGGGCTTCGAGCCCTCAGACCGCGCTCCCCGAGCTCCCCGCGCGGCGCGGTGCCGCAGCCCCTCCCGCCCTCTCCCCCTCACCCCCCCTGCCCTCCGCCCTCTCCCCCTCTCCCTCCCTCGCACGGCGCGCTCGCGGTCCGGGCGGTCGCCGCGCGTCTCCGACACGGAGCCCTGGCCCCCGCTCTCCCGTCCAGCACGTCAGGCGCCGGGGTCGGCTAGGCTTATGCAGCGCCGGGGTGCGGGGCGGACCAAAGGCCACGTCAGCGGGACTTGGGGCTGAGCTGGTCCGTGGCCCGAACTGGACGGAACATGGGACACCGGGCGGGCGGGCACGCAGGTACAGCTGGCGTTTGGTAGGCTGGACTCCTGGGAACATGCGCGGCGGACACTCACTGTTGCACTGTACGAAGTCTCTGACGTGTGATTAAAAGTTTTTACTGAGCCCCTGAGCTCCGGCGCGCTCTTACTCGGCCTGCCGGCCCGGGGAGGACGTGCGTGCGGAGCGCGCGGCTGCCGGGGCGGACCCCGCCCCCGAGCGGCTCGGTGACGGACACCCGCCGCTTCCAACCGGAGGGGCCCGGGGCCGAGGCTGGCCAATCGGGGGCCTCGGTGGGCGGGGCGGCCGAGCCCGGCAGATTCGGCGGTCTGGCTTCAATATGGCCGCAGCGCGCAGCGTCAACGCAGAGAGCGGCCGTGAGGAAAAGGGGCCTGAGGGGTCGTGTCCGGAATCAGGGCCCCCCGGCGCCACCATCCCGAGGGTGAAGCTCCTCGACACGCTGGTGGACACCTTCCTCCAGAAGCTGGTCGCCGCCGGGAGGTAAGGGGGACGAAGCTGTAGGCGCGCGAGAGGCCTAGCGGAGCGGGCGCGGCGGCGGCCTGGTCACGTGGCCTCGTGCCCGGGTGGGGGCGGGCCGGCAGTCACGTGGTCTCGCGCGCGCCGTCCGGGGGCGGGGCGGGGCGCTCGGCGCTCTTCTCCCCCGCGGCCCGGCCGCCAGGGCGCGGGACGGCGGTCGCTGAGGTGTGGGGTGTCGACGACCTGATGCGGAAGTGCGGGCGGGTCGCGGGCCGTCCGCGCGGGGGTCGCGCTGTGTCCCCCGCGGGCGGTGCTGTGGCCGTGCTCCCCGCGCGGCCCGCGCCTCAGGGCGGCACGGAGCTGCGGCCGGCCCTGCGCCGGTGGGCGCAGTCCGCGCGCGTACGAGCGCCCTCCTGCGCGCGTCCGCGGGTGGGGACGTGCGGGGGGCAGAGTAGGCGCGGCGCTCGCTGAGACGGCGGGCGGCTCGGGGAAGGGAGCCCCCAGAGCGCGTGACGCCGAGCGGAAGCTGGAGCAGTGAGGGGTGGGGGAGAGCCTGCAGGCGGCGGACGCAGCTTGCGCAAAGGCCCTGAGGTAGTCAGGTCTGCTGGGGCAGGGGAGGTGGCGGCCTTTTCGTGCAGGACCTAGTTTCCAGAGTGGTTAATTTGATAAAATAACTTGTAATTGTTTTTATGGACCCGTCGTAAGGCGCCACCAAGATCTGTCCAGGCGAGGTCCCTTCTTTGTTTTAGTGTCCCCCCACCCCCGCTCATTCTTGTCTTCCTCTCCCCTCTCCATAGGCCCAGTTTCTGTTGGCTCTGTGTCCTCCGATTATTCATGTGCGTCTACAGTGTCGCAGGCTCTGTTCTAGGGGCTGGAGATGAACCTGTGGTCAAGGGGCCAGGAAGGTCCCTGCTCTCCTGGAGAAGGCGCACTAGTGCCATAAAGAGAAATAAATCAGGGTAAAGAAATAGAGCAGCGGGATGGGGGCGTCTGGGTTAGCGTGAGTGCAAGAAGCGACATTGGAGTATGTTTGCTTCCTTGTTGAATATGTTGTTTTGTCTGGGTATGTTTTAAGTTTATATGGATGATGACTGAGCTACATACAACTTTTTTCACTCAACACCATTTTTTTTTTTTTTTTTAAAGATCTAACCACGTACTGTAAGTGCATGTGGTTCAGGGCTTCTCAGGCTGCTTTTCATTCCATGATATGCATCCAGCGCTTACCCATCCCCGGTCACAGATCCCTGGTTGCCTCCGGACCCCTCCTCCACCGGTCATGCCCAGGTGTCTGTCCTTGTCCATGCTCTTGCGAGTGCTGGCATTTCTGGACGTAGATAACGGAGAGGGGCCCCTGGATTCTGGGGTTTACACCTACCTGTGGCTTGTCAGATTGCTTTCCAGAAAAGCTGTTCCAGTCTCCTCCATCCTCACCAGCACCGGGGTCCACCATTCTGACTCCCGCCGCTCTGGAGGTGTGGAGAGGGCTGGCCCACGGTGGTTTAACACCCCTGCTGCCTCACAGCTTCGGACATACCCTCATTAAGCTTGTCAGTCATATGGCTTCCTTTTCCAACAGCTGCCTACTCATTTCCTCCAGCTTTTATTTTTTTTCCAGACTCATCTTAAGATTTTATTTATTTGACAGAGAGAGAAAGAGCCCAAGCAGGGGGAGCAGCAGGCAGAGGCAGAGGGAGAAGCAGGCTCCCCGCTGAGCAGGGAGCCCAACTCAGGGCTCCATCCCGGGACCCTGGGATCATGACCTGAGCTGAAGGCAGACGCTTAGCCGACTGAGCCACCCAGGTGCCCCTTCTGTAGAGTTTTAAAGTTCTTTAAAGAACTCATGCCTTCTTTACTAGGTCACTACCTAGTCCTTCAGAGTTTCTGTTACTATTGTGAATATTCTCTATTTTTTTTTTAACATTAGTTACTGATGACTTAGAGAAACTACTGCTTTTTGTAAGATAGTTGTATCTTGCATTCTTGCTCCACTCTTATTAAAGTATAACCTCCCTCAAAATGCCCAAATCATAAATGTTCAGCTTGATAGCATTTTCACGAACGAGCACACCCATGTAACCAGCACCCAGATCAAGAAACAACCCCAGGAAGTGCTCGTATGCCCCCTTCCCATCTTTACCTTCAGCTGAAAGGGTAACCACTTTCCTGACTTCAGTTAACCAGACATTAGTTTTGCCTGGGTTTCTGCCCCGCCCCCCACTTTATTAAATGGAATCCTATGGTTTGTAATCTTTTATTTCTGACTTCTTTTCGTTGACATTGCCTTTGTGAGATTCACCCACATTGTCATCAAGGATTTGTAGCAAACAGTGATGTAATCATCTTTGCCTTCTTCCTAAAGTTCTCCACAGTGTTAAATTTTTGGTACGTATTTTTGGAAAATTATGAAAGTCCCTGTGTGTTTCTAGTTTTCTGAGAGGTTTTTAAGAAGTCATAATTATTTTTTTAAGTGTGTTTATGTAAGTAATGTCTACATCCAACATGGGGCTCAAACTCATAACCCAGAGATCGAGTCACACGCTCTTCTGACTGAGCCAGCCAGGTGCCCCTGAGGGAGGAGTCATAAATAGATGTTGAACTTTATCAAATGTTTTCTTCTTTTAATGAGATGATCTTGAATTTTTCTTTAGTTCATTAATATTGGTGATCTCCGTTGGTAGATATGGAAGTTAAACCATCTTTGCATTCTGGGAATAAATGTACTTGGTGTATTTTTAAAATACACTGTTAGGGGGCACCTGGCTGGCTCAGTCAGGGGAGCGTGTGACTCTTGATCTTGGGGTTGTGGGTTTGAGCCTCACGGTGGGTGGAGATTACTTAAAAATAAAATCTTTAAAAAAATAGACTGTTATAGTTAGATCTGTGTTCGTATGCTAATAAGTTAAATGGACCTATAATTTTTTTTTTTTTACTCTCCTTATTTGTTTATAGAATCAAAGATGTATTAGCCATGTATGAGGACTTGGACAGTACTCCCTCTTCTGAAACAGTTTATGTAAGATTGGGATTATCTGTGTCTTAAAAGTTTGCAAGAGGGGCTCCTGGGTGGCTCAGTCGTTAAGCATCTGCCTTGGGCTCAGGTCATAATCCCAGGGTCCTGGGATTGAGCCCCGCATCAGGCTCCCTGCTCAGTGGGAAGTCTGCTTCTCCCTCTACCACTCCCCCTGCTTGTGTTCCCTCTCTTGCTGTCTCTCTCTGTCAAATAAATAAATAAAATCTTTCATTAAAAAGAAAAAGTTTGCGGGGCACCTGGGTGGCTCAGTCGTTAAGCGTATGCCTTCGGCTCGGGTCATGATCCCAGGGTCCTGGGATCGAGTCCCACATAGGGCTCCCTGCTCCGCGGGAAGCCTGCTTCTCCCTCTCCCACTCCCCCTGCTTGTGTTCCCTCTCTCGCTGTCTCTCTCTGTCAAATAAATAAATAAAATCTTAAAAAAATGTATCTTTAAAAAAAAAAAAAAAGAAAAAGTTTGCAAGAGCTCATTTAGGCCAAGAACTTTTTGGCGTGGTTGAGGACAGCGGGCGTTAAGAGCCCTGATGCTGCTGGGGCGCCTGGGTGGCTCAGTTGTTTAAGCGACTGCCTTCGGCTCAGGTCATGATCCTGGAGTCCCGGGATCGAGTCCCGCATCGGACTCCCTGCTCGGCGGGGAGTCTGCCTCTCCCTCTGACTCTCCCCCTCTCATGCTCTCTCTCTATCACTATCTCTCTCAATAAATAAATAAAAATCTTTTTTTTTTTTAAAGATTTTATTTATTTATTTGACAGAGAGAGAAATAGCAAGAGCAGGAACACAAGCAGGGGGAATGGGAGAGGGAGAAGCAGGCTTCCTGCCGAGCAGGGAGCCCAATGTGGGACTCGATCCCAGGACCCTGGGATCATGACCTGAGCCGAAGGCAGACGCACAACGACTGAGCCACCCAGGCGCCCAATAAATAAAAATCTTAAAAAAAAAAAAAAAAAGAGCCCTGATGCTGGATGTGTCCTCCAGAGGGCACTGCAGACGTCTGGCATGGAGCGGTTTCTTGTAACAGCTACAAGTCCGCTCAGATTTGATTTCTTCTTGTAACAGAATTGCTGTTTTACAGGCATCCCCCCCACCCAAATCTGTCTCCTTTGTCTGTTATATTCTAACTTTTCAAAATGATTTAAATTTTTATTTAAATTAAATTTTTATTATTTTCCCCTTTTCCATTATATGCTGTTTTTCTTTTTTGGACTTTGTGTAGGCAGAGTTCTCTCTATCTTACTTTTTACAGAATTGGCTTTTAAAAAAAACTTTTGAGGTTTATTATGAGTCTCTATATCTTTGAAATCTATCTTTATCTTTATTATTTATTTGTTTTTATTTCTTTAGATTTGTTTTATTAGTCTCTTCCCAAGTTCTTGGGTTGAATATTTAGCTCTTTTCTTTTTCAGCCTTTTTTTTTGTTTTCTGAAAAATGTGCTTAAAACTATAAATTTTCAGGGCGCCTGAGTGGCTTAGTTGGTTGAGCGGCTGCCTTCGGCTCAGATCATGATCCCAGGGTGCTGGGATCGAGCCCCGCGTCCGGCTCCCTGCTCAGCGGGAAACCTGCTTCTCCCTCTCCCACTCCCCCTGCTTGTGTTCCCTCTCTCGCTGTGTCTCTCTCTGT